GCTGCTGCAGTGTTTTTGTGAGGTGAAAGTTGATGAATCATCTGGGCATTATCATAAATCACCCTTTACTGTGCCTGTACTTTCACATTAAATTTACAAAATGAGATGTTGTCCACATAGATTGCCAAAATAGCATTAAAGCTTAAAAGTTGTGTTAATACCCTGCTATGCTGCTTAGTGCTGACTCCCAGCTTTGCAGTTTGGGGACTGTGGCTGTAATTAACATTTCCCTGCCTTCCATCAGCACCTTACACCGAGCTGCCCCTGCCGCCCCTGAAGCTGCGCAAGGTTTGGATCGTGTACTCTGCTGATCACCTGCTCTACGTGGACGTGGTGCTCAAGTTTGCTGAGTTCCTGATGACAGTCTGTGGCACTGCTGTGGCCCTGGACCTGCTGGAGGACCACCACATCTCAGAGCTGGGGCCCTTACCCTGGCTCACCCGGCAGAAGAAGGAGATGGAAGAGCTCTCTTCGAAGATCATCATCCTGTGCTCTCGGGGCACCCAGGCCAAATGGCAGGCCATGCTTGGGAATGAGCCCGTGTGCCTCAAGCAGGATCAGCAAAAGCCAGTGGGAGACCTGTTCACCCCAGCCTTGAACCTGATCCTGCCAGATTTCAAGAAGCCAGCCTGTTTTGGAATGTACATAGTTTGCTACTTTGAGGGAATAAGCAGTGAGAGAGATATACCTGATCTGTTCAATGTCACCTCCAGGTACCAGCTGATGGACAAGTTTGAGGATATTTATTTTCGGATTCAGGACCTGGAGAAGTTTGAACCTGGGCGCATCCATCGAATCCAGGAAATCACAGCTGAAAATTACATCGATACCCCCAGTGGGAGGAAGCTGAAAGAGGCCATAGAGAGGTTCAAGAACTGGCAGACTGAGCACCCAGACTGGTTTGAGAGTGAGACCATCTGCCTGGATAGTGATGAAGAGTTGCATTCCCTGAGCAGAGAGAGCCAGGGGGATTCACTGCTGAGTGAGCCAGGAGGAATTGTGAAACACCAGCTGCACCTACGTGAGCCTGAGCCCTGTTACACCATCAGCCTCCACGTGCATGAGGGTGAAAGTACAGGCTGCAGGCTGCAGCCTCAGCTTAATCCACGTGGGGATCCAATTTCCCAGACTGTGGTCCTTCCTATGGATGTTCCTCCAGTTCAGGTGGTGGAGCCAGTCTCTTCCATGGAAGGCAGAAACATCCTCAGTCACCATGTGCTGAGCAATGAGGACTGTATGGAAGGAGTTCCTCTTCTGGAGACCAGCTTTCCAATGAGGAATAACCTCATCCTCCACGGTGGCCCTGAAGCTTCAGCAGCTGACCAGAGTCCTGCAAACTTGTCAGGTGACCTGAGTGAGCGTCTGAATGGACTCATGTACCCCCTTTATCAGCAGAGTGTCATCCCTTCAGAGCCATATCTGTGCCAGGGGGAGGCTGACCAGCAGCACCAGCTGGTCTTTGATGACCAGTGCAAGGACCAGAGGCAGTCAGTGCAGTCAGACCAGGGCTACATCTCCAGGTGCTCCCCTCTGCCTCCTGAGGACCTTCTGGAGGAGGAGGAGGAAGAGGAGGAGGATCAGGAACAGCAGGGGGGGTTCCACGAGCTCTCTCCAGAGGTTTTGAGCAGCCTGAAGAGCCTCCAGAAGCAGCTGTTTTTCCAGGACATTCAGAGGCACTCCAGCTGGAGCTACCCAGCAGAGGTGATGGACATTGGCCAGGCCTTGGATGACTCTTAGGCTCTGCCCTGTTTGAAATGCAGGGATGGAGGGTGGTGCCATGCAGAGCAGTACTGAGGCTGCATTTCCAGCACTGTCCTCGTCCTTGCATTGTAAATGGCTTAGTGCTGGCACCTTCCTGTGCTGCTGGGATGCAGCACTGCCCAGCACATGTGGAATGTTGCTTCTCTGTGGAGAGAAGCCAGGAGTATTGCCCACCCCTGTGAAAGAACAGGCAGTGCTTCTGTTCCTTGGGGAAGAGCATTACACTGAATTCTCACTGATGGATGGCAGAAAAATTGCTGTGGCTCATCCACTCGTGCCTTCACAATGCCCTCCAGCTGTGCTGATTCTATTGCACTGGATAAAAGTCACAGGCATGCTTCAGAAAATAGGCTTAGATAACATGGTGACGTTTGCATTGCCATGTTAATACACATTTTGAACATTCCCTTGTAAATACTGTATTAAAGACATGTGCCTTAAATTTCAGCTAGATAAGGGCTGTCTCTACCTGGTTGATAAATGTGCCTTAAGATTTTTTTATTTTTTCCCCACTCATCATTCATTTACAGCTGCATATCCATGGTCATTCAGAAATCAAGTGGAATAACTGAGAATAAGTGGGATAAATGTTTAAATTGAGAGTCTCCATAACTCTTCCTGCCTCTCTACTGGGAGCTATGTGCTTGAAAACCAGCAACAGGAGTGAAGGGGGAAGAGGAGACCGAGAAATGGAATTTGGGATTTTTTTACAGTTTTAAGAAATGTGGGGCTGAATACAGAATCAGGGGAGTCTGGTGTGTTCTGTGACACACTGCTGCAGTGCTGTGTGCTTTTGGATATCTTAGCACCAGGAAGATGTGAGCTGAAGATATAGACAGTGACACACAAGGAAATAAAGGGCTGTTTTGGAGGAGGAAAAACTGTAGCCTCAGCAGATGCTGTTTTAGAGTGGAAATTATATCTGAGTTAAGGGAGGCTGAGTGAAAATGACTGTAAGATGTACTTGTGTGGGTTTAAGCTCCAGCACAAGGTAGTTCAGGTTAACTACAGTGAAATACTGAACAGACTAAGGGATTCCTCTTCCAGGAGCAGTGATGGTAAGGCTGCATTTACCCTGTTTCTTATCCCTGGATAACAACCTGTGAGGTGTAAATACATCCAGGCCTTTCTCCTTTGTTGTTTTCCCATCCATCTAAGTTTACTTGTCAAAAAAATCCTTTATCTCAGCTTTTTTAAAATCTAATGTCTTAGAAAGAATCTATTCTTTTCTCTTGCAATTTATTTTGTATTGTGTGTATTTTATAATTTTGTGTTGAACCTGTGGGGGTTTTTTTCCTTAAATTAAAAATGAAGAATACTTTTTTGGATATATTCAGTTAAATACTTCTGTGTCCTCAATTCTGCCTATCTCCTTATGTTGAGTTCTTAGTATTTGTTACAGGAACCTGAGGCAAAACTGAGCCAGAACTGAACTGGCTCACAAATGTCAAAATATTCCTGCAAAGCACAGTATGGAGACGAGCTGGACAGAGTGAGGGCCTGCAGCCATGGGAAGCATCCCTACATCCCTTCAGAAGGGGTGGTAAAGGAACTGTTTGTCATCTCCATGCAGGACTCTTAGGACAGCTCAGTGACAAAGGGAAATCCCTGCAGAGATCCAGAATTAAGGCTGGGAGCCTTCCTGCTCCAACAGGAATCCAGTCCAATCCAATCTAACCCAACAGAGCTCAGCAAGAGGCAGCTGTGGTCTCAGTGCTCCTCCAGTGAGAACCCATCTCCCAGATTATGTCAGTAATTGCCATCTTGATGATCCCACTTCTAAAAGTTTCTTTTATCTTACAGCAATTAACATGTAAATCTGATTTTTTTTCCCCATGAGTCTTTTTCAAGTGGTATAAATTCCTATAAATCACTTGAATAGGAAGCTCAGAAGTGTCATTTGAATTTCCTTGCCTTAGTCATTCCCTTCTCAAATAACTCCCTTGGTGTTACAGCTCTTAGAATTTGCTTTCACTTAGAAAAAGTTTGTTTGAAGGGAAAATCCAGACACTATTTTAGCAATCCAGTATGAGGAAAACAAGTAACTAGCACATCTGTTGGTCCCTATTCAATACAAAATTGAATATCCCAGCAAGAATCAAAGGAGGAAAAAAAGGAACAAAATCAGTCACAAGTTTCTAATTTTATTTTAACAATCTTGCTTTTTAAAAAATACAAGTTCTGATTAATGCCAGGGGGATGCCAAGTGTCCATCAGCCACAGGCCTTATCTCTCACTTCCATTTCCCCTCCTGGGAGTAGTCATCTCTTTTGTCAGGATAGCAAACAAAGAGCAGTAAAATGCTAAATAACTGAGTTGTGTAACAGGATCCCAAGGGACCTGTGTCTTAGTATGGCACAAATTCGTTCAGCAAAGTGTTACTGACCTGGACCAGTAATTATTGTTGGCACAATGTACAGGAGTTGTGCAAGGTGCATCAGGAGAGGTATTGTTTGCACTGCTGTGGTGCCACCAGCTCTCTTCTGCAAACAGAAAGGTTTAAGGAAGCAAGAGCTCAGTTACCAAAGAGGAGGGCATTCAAGAGGAGGAGCAGGTTTATAAACAGGACATTGAAGATCCTCAATGTTTTTTCATAGTAGGTAATTGCAGGAGCAGCAGAGCTGCAAGGGGGGCTTCAGTATAGGCAACTACAAGAGCTTTAACGCTCTCCAAACAGCACAATTCCTAACAACCTAGAAACCATGGCACCACAAAGAACAACTTTTCCTACAAAGGAATTCTATGCAACACAAGTGTCATTTTGCAGGGTCGTGTGTCCCGGGCAACCTTTTCATCCATGGAGAAATCTGAGCTGTGAGTTCACTGCCAATGGGTTAAAAATGCCATGGCCAGATAAATTTCAAATATGCCATTTTTCTCAAGAACGTCCTAACTGGAAAAAGGCACTCACTTTTGAAACAGCAACTTTGTTATGGGCTATGGAGGGGTACTGAAGTAAGACTCATTAATAATTGTGCTGTGATTCTTTTGATGTCTCAACTATGCTCATGCTTCAGTGTTTTAGGGATTAGCACTTTGGTGCTTTTGGGAACTTGGCCATAGGAGCAGCCAAACGTAGTCAGTGATGAAAAGCTTTTTTTTTGCAAAGTTGGTTGGGGATTTACTTTTTTTCCTTTCAGCTGTTTGACTGAAGAATGTAGTCCTAGGTTCAGGTATCACCTTATTCTCTCTTGAATAATTATTTCTGAGTTTCTACTACCTATTTAATGCTGAAAAAGGAAGGTGCAAGGAAACAAATATCTGTACAAGCAGAATATGCCTGTAATTACACCTCCTTTGGCCAGGAACTTAGCATCCCCTCAACACATTTCACATCACATAGGAAAAGTTCACAGTACCAAGTTTTACAATCACAGTCACTCACAGCACCAAGATTGTCCAGACAAGAAGAAGTTACCGAAGAGAAAGGCCACTGGCCAAAATTCACACAACTGCCCACGAAAGGGCTCAGGTTAAAAATAAAGCACTGGTGGGAAAATTAAGCCTAGCTTTTGCCAGCTCTCCATTTGGCACGAGGAGAGCAGCGAGTCACCCATCCTAGCTGCACTTCTGAACAGAACAGCACTATTGACCCATCTTTTCCTGGGGCTTTTCCAGCCCCTCAAAGCCCATCAGCCACCGAGAGCTGGGGGAGAGGAGCCCCATGGCAGCCCCACCTCTGCCTCTGGAGCTGGAATTACCAGACTGTAAACATTTTGTTGTAGCAGTCCACCGGAGCAGGCAGTTGATCCCACTCTGTGACAAGGAAGGTGGGACAGAGGCTCTGAAGCCCAAGCCCTGAAAGAAAGAATAAATGTGTGTGCGGAAGAAGCCTGGGCTGCACCTGCAGTCCTGCTGTGGGTAGCAGTTGGTTGTGCTTTATTTCCCCTTCCCATCAGGACAGCTTGAAAAAAAAAGAAAGAAAAAAAAAAAACTTGCAACAGGAAACTTGTTTTTCACAATTATTGCAGCCTTGCCCAGATAACAAAAGATAAGCCTGGGAGGGGCAAAGTCCTTCCTCCAGACGTGGTCTGTGTGCTCCTCCTTCCATGGGCAGGTTTCAGGAGCAGCTGCAGCCAGGCAGAAGAGCAGGCCTTAACCCCACCCAACATTCATGGAGCTTCAAACCAAAGAAAACTGTGTTCCTATGAGAGGCTACTAACAATTTTTCCCCACCTACCCTAAACCACATGCACACAGAGGACAGGATGCTGATCCATGGGCTTTCACCAACGCTCGAGAGCCCCTGTGGCCCGAGGGCTCCAGCAGCACTTTGCTTTTTCTGTGCTGAAATGTTTGGTTCACTGAGCATGGAGCCCACCCCGAGCAGTGCCAGCGTCCTCTGCTCTGCTCTGCTCCTGGAGAGGGGGCACTCTGCAGGCTCAGCCCCATCTCTGCTCTCTCCAGCAGGCATGGAAGGGGGCCAGAGGAAATTTTCCAGCCTTTCTGGCTGTGGAAAGGAAGACCCTACGCTCCGTGTAAAAGAAAACCAACGGTGATCCCGTAAACATGCATATTCACAGAGAAATGAGAGCCCCAGCACGTGGGGATGCCAGCAGGAGGCTGCTGTAAACCCTGTTCTCACCAGAAATAAATGTCTTGGTGGGTATGAAATGGGGCCTAAGCCCTGGTTTGTGTCCATGCTGGACTGGTTTCTTTAGCGTGTGAAGTCAATGTAAGATGCAAAAGGTTGACGCACAGAGGTAGACATTTTGGCTAGGAGAAGGTGGCTCATGGGCTGAAGTGACCGAGTGGCCAGCGTGCTTCCAGAGGTTCCTTAGCTGTACACAAAGGCCTGGGAAACACTGGCAGCAGCTTTGCAGGACCGAGGGAAACCAAAGCGTGCTTCCTTCTGTCCTTCTGGAGGCAACATCTGCTGGTCAGGCCTCTCTTACATCTCGTTATTGTGGTCAGCAGGAGTTCTTAAAGGAGGGGACAAATGCACTGGTCCCTGTTGAGGATGAAAAGGAAAAACTGAACCTTTTCTGTGACAAAGCAACACAATGTCCCGGGAGGGGGGGGAAGAGTGGGACCCTCCAGACAGCGGAGATGCAGAAGCACTGGAAGAAGTCTTGTCATGAAGGACAGGTGCGTTTTCCGGGGACAAGCGTCACCCGTAGGCTCCTGCAGGTAGTCGGGTTTGTGCGGAGCTTCCGCTGCTGGATTTGTCCATGAGGAAGGGAGGAGGGGAACGGGAGTCCGACGGGGAAACCCACGTCCCCTTCCCCTGCTCGGCCACGGCGGAGGGAACCTGAGCAGAACGCAGAGACAGATTCTCTGCCGGGAGCGGGCCCGGGGGCTCAGCCCTGGGCGGTGACCGCCAAGGCGTTCACGTACCCGTGGGGCCCCACGTCCACGTCGGAGAGCCCGTGGGCCAGCGGGGCGGCGGCGGGCGCGGCGGCGGCCGGGCCGTACTTGGCGGGCGGCGGGGCGGCGGCGGGCCGGAGGAGGCAGCAGGTCTCCAGCGCCTCCAGGCCGCGGCAGGTCAGGAAGAAGAGGTTCTTGAGCATGAAGAGGGAGAGCGGCTGCTGGTAGCGCAGGAGCAGGAGGCAGCGCAGCGCCAGCAGCGGCGCGTCCAGCAGCCCGGCGGGCAGCAGGAGGTGCAGGGCGAGGCGGGCGGCGCCGGGCGGGCGGGCGGCGCTCAGCTCGTACAGCCACAGCACCGGCGAGGCCAGGCAGAGGAAGTAGACGGCGATGAGCAGGTAGCGCAGCGGGGCGGGCAGCGGCGCCGGCCGCCCGGGCTGCAGCACCAGCTCCAGCAGGGAGAAGCTGTCGAGCAGGTCGAGGCAGGTGGCGAGGAAGGCGGCGGCGGCGCGGTGCTGCGGCGGCGGCTGCGGCGGCAGGAGCAGCTGCCCGGCGCCCTCGGTGCCGATGGCCCGCAGCAGGCAGTACAGCAGCGGCGCGGACAGCGCCAGGGTGATGCGGAAGCCGGTGGTGCCCAGCGGCAGGCGCAGCTCGATCAGCTCCAGGATGGAGGTGCCCAGGATCAGCGCCGCCTTGGGCGTGAAGGCGATGGAGTAGATGAGCCAGGCGAGGTGCGCGTAGGCGAAGTCGCCGCCGCGGGGGGGGACCCCGGCCCCGCGTCCCCCGGCCCCGCGGCCGCCGGGGGGGCCGTGCAGCAGCAGCGGGTGCGGCGGCGGCGGCCCGGGGGGCGGCGGGGGCCGCTCCCGGCGGCGCGCCCGGCTGTTGCGGCAGAAGAAGATGCCCCAGCCGGCCGCCAGCACCAGGTCGGTGGCGATCCAGCTGCACCAGTACAGGTCGGTGACGGCGATCAGGTAGAGGTCCAGCAGCGCGCCCTGCCCCAGCAGCAGCACCAGGGACAGCGCCTGGAAGCCCCAGCGCCGCCCTCCCCCCGCCCCGCCGGGCCCCAGCAGCGCCCCCGCCGCCGCCCCGCCGCCCCCCGCCCCGCCGCCCGCCGCCGCCGCCCCGTACAGCTCCGCCGCCGTCATGCTGCGGCCCGGGCTCCCGCCGCCGCCGCTGCTGATGCTGCTGCTGCTGCTGGGGAGCGGCGAGGCGGCGGCGGGCAGCGGGGTGGCGGGCGGCGGCACCAGGGGCTTGCTGATGCTGCTGCTGTCCTCCTCCTCTTCCTCCTCCTCCTCCTCCTCCTCTTGCTCGGCGCTGCTGCGGGGGCTGCGGGGGCGGCAGGCCCGCGCCGAGCCCGAGCTCGACCCCGAGCCCCGCCGGCTGCCGCCGCTGCTGGAGCCCCGCTGGAAGAGGGGCTGCCGGTCGGCGGCGTGCGGCGGCAGCGGCGGCGGCGGCGGCGGCGGCGGCGGCGGCGGCGGCGGCTGGAAGGAGCCCGAGGAGGAGGAGACCGAGCGCTGGTTGGAGGCAGCGCGGTGCATGGTCCTCCCCGGCCCCCGAGCCGGCGCGCCGGGCCCGACGGCCGCGCCGCGGCCCCCGGCCCGCCCCCGGCCCGCCCCCCGCAGCGGCCCCGGGCCCGGCGGCGGCGGCGGCGCGGAGAGCCCGAGCGGCGGCGGGGGAGCCCGGGGGCGGCGCCGAGCACAGCCGCAGCAGCTGCCGGAGCCGGGGCGGGCGGCTGGCGGCGGTGGGTGGGCTGCGGCTGCGGCTGGGGCTGGGGGAGAGGCTGCGCGGCCGGGGGAGGGGAGGAGGGGGCGACAACGGGAGGGTGAGGAAGGCGCCCCCGCCCTGTCCCCCGGGATGCTCCCCTGCCACATCCCGGGGCGCCTCCTGCCTCCTGCCCCGCAGGAACCCCGCGAGCCGTCCATGGACGTGCCACAGCCCCGCGGCACCCGCTCCCTTACATCGGGTGTGCTTCGGCCTCCCCTGGTCTCTCCAGGCTGGGCAAGACAAAGACCAGTTGGCCTGGCACAGAGCCTACTTCACAGAGCGCTCATTTGTGGCTCAGCTGTGCTGCTGGACATTCATCTGTCCCTGCATTTGGTCTGGTGTGTTTGTTCATCAAAGTGTCCTTTATGCCCCCTTTATCAGTTTTCTGAGTTGAGCCAATCCACATGCTCAGGGTCCTGCCTGGTTTGCCATGATGGGACAGAGCCTTTGCATTGATATGAACAGCTCTAGACTTCTACTGAAAACAGCAATTGAGACCTTTATTGACCCACTCTTAATGGCCTTGAATTGAGCTTAATAGCTGGCTGCATCTGTTTATCACCAGCACTGATGGCTTGGCACGTCATGTTCCACCATGCTGAGCCTTGGTGCTCAGCATCACCAGTTCCTCACCTGTACCTGTGCCCACCCATGATGAGCCAGGTGCTGCCTGATAATGGTGTGGAGCACATCAAATAAACTGTGTCCACAAACATCTGTATTAACTACACTTTGTGATAAAGATCCAAAACAGCTTCACGTTTTCAGCATGTTGCTGAATCAACACATGGCACTGAGCAAATGCTGCTTGGTGCTGGGAAAGGACGTCCAGGACAGCAGTGACAACCATCCAATACATGTTATTGCAGGCTCCCTGGGGAGCTTTGCCCCAGGCAATGTCCCTGCTGCTCTTCGCTACAAGGAGAAATCAGTCTGGGGTACAAGGAGAATTCATGCTTAAACTTGAAGCAAAGAGTAAGGGAAAGGGAGAACTTGGCACAAAAGGGAGATTGACACAAAGATTTCTTTGGGCACTCAGCAACAATCAGGGCAAGGCTTTCTCTCTTTGACTGGCTTTGCTGCCCAAGAAAAATCCATGGCCAAACAATTGCTTAGATTTTTGCCTACAAAAGTCTACAATTTTTGTACAACCCCACAAAGATTTCACTGTCTACAATTTTTGTACAACCCCACAAACACTCCACTGAAGGCTCTGTGGATGGGCTCTGATAGGGAGCAGGAAGCTGGGGTCCATGGCCAGGGAGGATGATTGCTCTCTCTGGTGCTGTTTCATGTTCCTGGGCAGGTGTTGGGAGTTGCCCAGCTCAGGACAGCTCAGAGTGGTGTGAGTTACCCCAGCTGTGCCTCCTTATGTGGTTTCCACATAAAGGCTGGCTTGGATGGCAGCGTAAGCCTGTGGGGCCCATGGTAGAGGGTAAAACCCCATCCTTATGTTGTGGATCATGGCTTTTATCCAAGGTGGGTGAGTGCCTTCACCTGACCCTTCTCAGGTAAGCCATGATTTATGTGTGGTCAGCCCTCAGCATTAGCTAAATTGCTCTTGCCTGCAAGGGGAGTTTTCCACTTCCACAAGAGGATGTGGAGTGAAAACCAAGCATCCATCTGGGCTGCTCCTGCCCTGCCTGGGCAGCAGACAGTGGCAGCTCTGCCTCCTTGGCTGTCGTGCTCTGGGTTTCCTGAGCAGTGCAGTTCCCTGTGTGCCAGGGGCTGGACTCACTTAGCTGCCCTGGCAGCCTGCCACAGGCCCTCACAGCCCTGCTCTTCATCCAGGCCCTCATTTCACAAAGCAGCCCCGTTCCCCAAAGCTTTGGGAGGCTGTGTGGGTGAAGGGAACGGGGTGGGGATCCCTGGGCTTTGGGAGGGCTGTCACCCACAGCTGGGGTGCAGAGCTGGGAAATGGCTCTGAGGCTGCCCCCAGGGGATGTGGGGAGCTGGGAGCTCAGGGGGCCTGCTGGGCCGGGGCTGTGTGAGCAGAGCAGGAGCAGCCTCGTGGAAATGGCTCCAGACACCACAGGAGAACCTTCACTGCTGGGGCTGTGTGAGCACGGCAGGAGCAGCCTTGTGGAAATGGCTCTCCAGACACCACAGGATGCCTGCTGGGCTGTGATGAAGGTTCCTGCATCCAAGGAAGGTGGGAACAGGGAGAACCTGTGGTGGCACGGCAAGGGGAGCTGTGACAAGGAATGGGGAACACCAGGAAGGAGGGTGGAAGCTCAAGGGCTTCAGCACGGGCTCCAGCAGTGCAAACACAAAAACAAAGAGGTGAGGATAAGAAAGGAGCTTATTTGTAGGAAAGGAAGCAGAAATTGTGCCTCTGCTTCAAAATGGGAATGAGGGGAAAAACGATTTCTACTCGAGAGAGCTCTGAAGAGCTTTTTGTGGCACACTGTAGGATGGGATATGACAAGATGATGCTTCCCATGTGATCCAGTTATTTAATGCAATGTGCAGTCCTTGGATGTGTTAGTGCTTAACCATTGCTGTTAAAACATTAAAAAGCTAAACTATAAATAGATTCTACTCTTTAGTAGCTCCCAAGCTATGTTTTTGGCTGTTTTATGTATTGATGTGTATGCATAGAGATGTGTGTGTGTATACATGTATTTAAAGGCAAACAGCAGACAGAGTTTTGTGCAATAGTCATACTGAATATCTAAAATGCTACCAATTTTAGTTTACACTGCAAGTGGAAACAAGTGTGCCCTCAAAAATACCCCTGCTGGGGGAAGGCAAAACTTTCTTGAGGGCTGAACTTGGGAGGAAACAAAATAATGACTCAATTTCTTGGGGGCAGGAAAAAAAAAAAGAAAAACAGGGCAGATATATGCCTGAAAGAAAGACCAGAGACTAGATACCTAATTATACCCTGCAGTAAGCTGTCAGAAACTGGCAGCAGTGGGAGGGAAAGAGGCAAAGCTGATCTCGGGGAGTTCGAGCATAATCTGCTCCAACCATACTTAAAATGCCTTTTGTGTTGGAAAGGAAGCTTCTGGGATTCTCTGACACACACTTTGTGCTGCACTTATCCAACCCATTCAAATGGTCAGGGCTGAAATGACAGATAAGTGTAAAAAGGTTTCACCTGGCCAGCACCAAAATTCATCTCTGACCAAGCCAATGATGCCTTGGCTTCCAAACACAGCCTTTGCACCTGAACTGCTGATCCTGTGTTATGGCTCAGGGAATGCAGATCCTCTTCAAAAGGATACTGAAGTGTTAACAGTCTATTGCTTGTAATTACATTTCGGTTCAAAGAGCTTTCAATGCCAGCAGAAAGTGCCAAGATGTTTCTTTCTGTGCTTGTAGCAGGGCAGGGGGCTTGGAGAGTGGATTTGGGGTTTGCTTTTGGTGTTTTGTCTTTCCTCAGTCTTAGCATAGATCATCTATTGAGTGACCTTGAGGAGAAAGTGAAAGCTCTTCATAGTTTAGATGACTGAAAAGGAAAAGCAGGTGTGTTACAGTGAATTAAGTGTTTTCTTGATGGAAGTTTGGTTCCTGGAGAACACATTGCTGCCCTGCTGGTGCAGGGTTTAAACTGTTGCAGACTGGATCTATGCAGGTCTGTAAGTGCAAAACGTTCATCAAATTACCTGCAGCAGTAAAAAAACCCATAAAGATTTGTGCTTTTATAATTGCGGTTAGGAAGGCCTGGCAAGGGAAGGGTTTGGACAGGCCCCTAAAGGGACCAGGGCAAGCAGGGCCCAAGCACTTCCCAAGGGTTACCCTGGCAGGAATTCCTCACAGCATTCCCCTGGGAGCAAACTCCTCGGGGCTCTCAGTCCTTTTGCTCAAGTTGGTCCTTCCTCAGTGTTTAACTCTGCACCTTGGGCTGGGCAAGGATTTCTATGGACTCCAGTTCCAGCTCAGCCTCTCCTACAAGGGACACCTCAACCCCAGGCTGCCCTTGTGCTCTGACAAGAGTGATTAAAAGCACCTGGGAGCCTCAGGTTGTGATCTCCCCCTGCTTAACTAAACCTTGATTGGCCCCATCTTGGGTGAGTGCTCCAACTACCAGAGCACTGGACAAAAGGAGGAGGCTGATTAACACTTTTCATCATTATTTATTAGAGGTTGGGGCTGTAGGTCGCTTCTCCAAGATGTGGAATATAATTCAGTTAAATTCTGAATATATATATCCTCTCTCTGCTGAAATTGGGAATCCTTGTCCAGTCCCTCCCAAAGTGCTTTATGATTGTTGCTTTCAACATCAAGCTCTCAGGACTCTGCATCACACTTGTTTTGCTGTCTAATGTGCCTCCTGTGAGCTGTGGACTTTGCAGATGGGAAGCTTTCTGATAAAATATAAAAACAATGCAAGTGAACTTTGTAGATAGGAAATTTTCTGATAAAATATAAAAAGTTTTTATATTGGCTGTTTCTAGATTATTAAAGATTACGGTTTCACCTAGCAGGATTTTGAATTTTCTGTTGAAATCAGGGGAAGCTTTTGGTTCTAGTGTGAAAGTTTGCCAGTTAATTGCTGAAGGGGTATCTTTCAGGGTGGTTCCCTCAAGAAAATCTGGTAATAGCTTGAAGAACAGGGGAAAAAAAGAAAAAGCCAACAGAATTTCCCCTAATAATCTTTTAGGGCAAAGATGTGAAAGACAGCAGGATAATACCCATTAAATGTACACACAGAAAGTTAAAATTAATTTCAAAGAAAACATATTTTATTATTTTACATATGTGGTTGAACAAAGCAGCAACTCTGTAACTGTACTGAAATTAATATGAAATCTAAAATAATCACAGTTTGTGATTTCTCTGAATGATATATAATCACTTCTACAGTGCACATGACACAATCTGAAACATTTTACCATTTATTGGAGGGAGAAAGACATGGCAGGGCCAGGACTGGAAGGAAGGGGACAGCACTGTTATCTGATGCCCTGAATGCCAGGTTAGCAGTTGCATGTGTCCTGTGGAATAAAGGAATTCACTTCTCTGTTATTGCATGCTGTAAAAGCTCTTGGTTTCACATCCAGAACAGGTCTATCCCTTGTTCCTTCCTGCTAGCCTCAGTTGCAAGCTCCCTTCTGGCTTGACTGAAACCTGTTTATGTTTGGAAGATGGAATTTTTAGGATCAGGTCTTTGTCCTGTTTGCTGTACAGGGCAGTGCACCATGTAAATATTAAGGTATTGGAGCAGCAGTGAAGTCCCCTCTCCTGCTTGGTCCCAGAGCCTGCACAGAAGGATGACAGCTCCAAAGGACAGAAATACTGCTTTGGAGACACCTCTTCTGAGCAATACATGAGACAAAGGAAGAGTTTCCTTCCTGCCATGCTGGAAGCTAATTCCAGGAAGCTGCAGCTCCAAGGAAAAAGGATTTCACTGAATTCTGGCAATAACAGATGTCCATAAATGAACTGGACATAAGCTACAAGCCTGTACAAAACTCTAGCACAGCTCATAGAACAGAGAAGACATGCCAAGCAATGCCATCAACAGAAACCTTTCAGAATCAAGCCAGTGTCCAAGAGCAGCTGGAGAAGCCAGATTCCCTACTCCATCATGCAATTCCCAGGCAGGGACTTGGGCAAAGTGCACTGTGTCAGGGAGCTAAGAAGGGGAAGAGGGGAAAGGTCTTTGCATTGCTCAGACCAAGGGCAGCCCATCTGGCTAATTAGTGCAGAGAGCCACAAAGCAGAGTTTTTTATGCAACTTTACTTGGTATGAATTAGGCAAAGAGTACAAGATATTTCTAGATTCCTTCTCCTCCCTTCTGTTCAATTTTCAACTCGCAAGCAAAGCATTTTTTTAAAGTTCCTTATCACCGAAGTTCCTCCTACACATTTTTAAGAGTGGTGGGGAAAAAAAAAAAGTGATCCAGAGCTAAAAGCAGATTTGGCATCTGAAGCAGATTCACATCAGTCAGCTCACCTCCGCTGCTATTCCAAAGATGGAGATGCCTGGCTCCCTCTCTGTGCAAATGCAAACCTTCCTTCCTTGGGAGAGGTGCCACAGCCCTCAGGGCACAGGGGTCCAGCAGCACCTTCTCTCTGAGTAACTGGCCCCACACTTGCAGCAAGGAACAGGACAGAGCCCTGCCAGGGCTGGCTGCAGATGGACGGAGCTCAGCGTTTCTGCAGTCACACCACGCTGGAGCTGTGGCTCCTTCTTCCTGCCAGCAAACACCTCCCTGAGGTCTGGCTGTGAGGACCATGCCCAGGAATGCCAGCAAAGTTACACCCAAGTCAGCAAGCACTGCAAGCAAAGGGAGTGCTCCTCTTTCTGCAGTGGGTGGCACCTCTGAAAAGGGAGGCTGAGGGACACTGGAACCACCTGTGAATAAATGGGGTTTGGGCTCCAGGTTCAGCTCCACGGCTGTGACTGTGGAGAGGTGCTGCAGCTAAAGGACCTTCCCTGTGTTATACCCCAAGTCCCTGCCCTTCTGGGAACTGGAGACAAGCCCTTGTTCTGTGCAACGAGATGAAATGGTGATTTCCTTCTCTGCAGCAAAAGGAAAAGATTCAAATCTGTGTTCCTCCCATTAGAGCTGCTTTTAGAAGCAGCTTGTCCTGATGAAACAAAGGAGAAGAACCCCAAGTAATGGTAAGAGAGGAAGAAACTGCTTCCCATTGTGGATTTCACTGAGGGAAACACATGCAAAGACGTATTTTTCTGCTCCTATTCATGAAGGGAAGGATAGAGAAACAGAGAAGGAACTCTTTTGCCTGGATAACTGAGAGAGCACAAAATCTGCCTCACACACAGAGCCTGGCACAACTTAAGAACTGAGCCTATGCTGCAGTGACCTTCCTAGAAAGATACATCAGTACTGAGAGGATGGAGAGCTGCTGGAGCAGAATTTCAGGGCACATGGATGCTGAGATTTGAATCAAGAACTCAAACTTCTGGGCAGAACATCTTGTTTGCACCCTGTGTATGGAGCTGCCTGGTAAAGCAGGAAGGAGGAGAGAAGAGGCAGAGCAGACCCATTTCTGATACCTCAGTGTGGTGTGAGCTGACTGTAATTAGGAAAATCAACTCAGTTGTGTTGGCTCCAAGGCTTTTCATCATATACACAGGCTGATTTGTGCTTCTGAAATCACGGTGTTCCTCTGGAATTAAGACACTCCTTGCTAAACCCAATCTTTCACACTAATTTCTCATGCAAACCTTGCTTATCTTCTTTGGAATGTCTATGGAGACACAAGTCCTGTCTTTCTCTGGATAGGAGAGCTAGGAGAAGAGAGGCAATAGAAGGTGCATGTTGTTAGGGAAATGTTCCTGGGCAGGCAAGTCCCAGCTGCTAATTCATGTGAGGGGGACTCTACCTGCATGTTAAAGAAAGAGGAGGGACCAGAGGTCACACTGTATGGGGTATCCCTGAGCTGCAAACCACATGAGGGATGACAGGAACAAAAGAACTGGAAGACACGGACATTTGTATTCTAAAAGGTCAGGCCTGGGGATCTGAGGCTCTGCTACCATCCTTGACTGATCTTCTCTTTGAATCTTTGCATGCAAGGAAGGAGCAGAGGTGCACTGTGACCCTTTTTGTTTGGCCCTTGTTCCAGAGAAGGGCCCCTCTTGGAAGCTGTGCCAGCTGGAGCAGGTGGATGTTCCCTGCAACAGTTGGGATCAGAGTGGGTGCCAAAAAAGCCTCTTGCTGCAGCACTGAGTTCTGGGCAAAGACAACTCTGCCAATTCAAACTCTGTGGTGGTTTCCTCTGCTGCTGAGCACAGGCTGCTGGCTCCCTGGTGGGATGTGAAAAGGCAGGGGTGTTCACAGAATGCTAAATAGGGGGGAGGGAACAATATAACTTTCACCTCAGCCCTGCAGCAAGTCGCTCTGGCTACTGAAGCTTCCTTTGAGGGGCCCTGCCTCTCCACAGCTGCCAGATGACTGCAAAACAGAACTTTGTTTCAGGCTGACAGTGATGCAGTGGCAAATCCCCAGGCAAAGAGAATTTGTTAAAAGTCTGTAGGCACTTATTCTTCACGAGGAGAATGTTAAGACTCAAAGCCTTCTCTTGGCATGGAGCCACCACAGCCCAGCTTTTGGTGAGCTCGAGTCACAGCCTGGACAAACAGCACATTCTACAAATGGCTGATGGTGGCTCCTTGTGTGGGGAAGAGCTTTGCCCCCAAACACCCCACAAAGAGGAGGGTGGGCTCCCCTGATCTTTGCACACAAAGCAAGGAAAAGAATGAGCTGTGAGGGCTGAACAAAACCGGGATTGCTGGGACAAGCCTGCTCCTTATACCCTGTTTCCATTATGGCTCAATTATGGCTGGCAGCAATGTACAGCCACAGCTGAGAGTCTCTGGGCAGCTGTCAGGATGGCAGATGAGTTTTAAAAAAATTAAGGGGCTTTTAGTGCTGCAACAGGGAGTTTTCTTTAACATTATCTAGATTAGAAAATCACCCCAGGTCCCTCCCCATTCTTCCCCTCTTTCCAGTACATAAAACCCCTTACAGCAGATCTTTAGGCACTCTGTCTGAACGCCTAGCTCCAGTTTTCTTTTTCAAAAGCCAGCTGCACGGCCTCATCCACATCCTGCACGATGTGGGATGGCTGTACCAGGCTGGGGTCGAAGCAGAAGTCCCGGTGTCCATGGAACACTGTCTCCCCTGCTTCCCTGGGAGCGGCGCCGTCGGGGCGGAACACCCCGGTGCAGACCAGGATGGACTCACAGCTCTCCACTGAGCTGGTGCAGTCATTCCTCAGCTCCAGGGAAACCTCAGCCTGGGCACTGGCTGCCTGTGGGCTCCTCTTCTGCCCAGCCTGAACCTGGTTCTGCTGAGCTGACTTGAGGTAGTTGTTGTAGAGGTTTGCCCCATAGACGTCAGACATGGGGTTGTCCCTGGATAAGGTCAGGGTGGGAAACAGAAAGGAGAAACAAGCCCATGAGAATGGGCTCAGAAATTAGAAACAAGCCCTCTAGCTGTGAGGGACTGGGACTGAGACAGCAGTCTCAGAGAAAGGGCTGGGAGATAGTTGCTAACGTCAAGAGGGGCAGCTGGAGTGGGCAGTGAGTCCTGCTCAGGACACGTGTACCTTTCAAAGGGGACACAGCACATCCCAAGCACCCAGAGCAGTTTCAGCCATGACTGGATTATATCCCTGGATTATATTCCCAAAGTCTTTGGCCAGACTGAGCTAACAGTGTGTCTCTTAATTTTGTCTTTGAGTCACTCTTTGTGCACTCTGAATCCTACAGTCCACAGCTTTGCTGTGTAGGGTACAAAAAGCCAGCAAGCCTCTGTTCCAGGATGTGAGGCTCCAGAGATACCATGGGAATTTTGGTATTAACTTTAGAAATATCCGGAGGGGAATAAAACCCAGCAAGTACAAAACAAACAAACAAACAAAACCCCACCACCACTAAAGAGCAGTCAGTTTGCAACTCCCTAAGGAAACCAGCAGGAAAAAGTCTCTTACCCAACTGCATAGAGGTGTCGGATGGGAGCCTTCCAGCCCTGCTTCTCCGCCTGCTGCTGGATCAGGTACTGGGCATAGCGGTAGGTGATGGGGCTGGGTTTGCCAATCAGGGCCTCGTACCTCAGCTCCTTGCCTGTCACCTTCTTGTAGATGCTCTCCAGGCAGAGAAGGAAAGTGCCATGGCCAAACCTGCCCAGAAAGGAGGGCATCAGCATCCCCAGTAGCAGCACTGGGGCAGCAAGCACTCCTTGGTTATTGCCTGTTTTGGATGTGGTGCCCACACACCCCTCCACAGACAGTGGTCTGCCTTTTGCTGCTGCCCAAGCTTCAGCCTTTTTTTCTCATGCAGCTTTCATGTTTCTGCTAATTACATTGTACAATCAAGCTTTTAAAACATTCAAATGCTAAAAAACCACAGTAGAGAAAGATCATCTCCATGAGAGGAGTGTGAAATTGGCTAAATCAAACACCACGTGTGCTTCTCACCTGGGCATCTTGGCTTCAGCCATCCACAGGAGGTCCATGTTGCAGGCCAGGATGGGCAGATGAGGGTATGGCACATCCTGCAGCTCTGCCCCAGGGTTCCCATTGCTCAGGAGCACATCAGCAATGAGTTGCAGGCTCGTCTCCCACCTCACTGGCTCGCCAAACAGAATCACCCCTGCAAGATTTTGAGAGCTGCTTGGAAACTCACAGCATCCAAAAGCCACCCGCCAACAAACCCCTCCTGTGCTGGGCTGTCCTGGTAAGTACAGCTACCAGTGGAACACGGCTGGTGCCAGGGCTCCAGTCTGCACATCTCTGCACCATGTGCCCCTCTGGTTCCAGATACTGGCCCACAGCACAGGGAAAATTTGCTTTGATCCAGCTTTTCCCAGCAGCGAGGCTGTATCCTCTGAATGTGGTGCCCATGGACAGCAGTGAGCTGACAGCACATCATTAGCTCCCAGCCCAGCTGGCCTGCCTTGCTCTCAGCTCTGCTTGCTGCCCATATGTAAACACAGGCCTCTGCTTACCTTCTATAGTGGGGAAGCCAGGGGGGGAAGGAGGAGGCTGCCAGAAAAAAAAAAGGAAGGCTGGATTAGTAATGCAAAACCTAATGCCATCTCCAAAACACAACTAAAAATGCCTCCATTGAACCTGCCAAGGCAGTTCCATAATAAGGCAGGACAAAACCACCTGGAATCCTGAAGGAATATTTCTCCTCCTCTCCCACCCCAGATGGGATTTCACAGATCTTGCACTCCTGTCTGAGAGCTGGAGATGCCAACCAAGTCACCTCACCCCTCACTGCAAGGAGCAGCAATGGAAGGCAGAGACAGGAGAGGGGAGAGTCACTGCCCCTCCTGCAGGAGCCAACCCTGGGAAGGGCAGAGGCTCCTGCTAAGGCACCTCAGTGACAGCTGCCCTGTCCCTTTGCTGTGTGCTGTGGCCACCCTGCCCCAGACCACCCCTTCTGCTGATGCTTCAGGGAATTACCAGCTCTTTTGGCCTCCGGCTCAGGTCCACCATGTCCAACAGGGGATATGCCTTCCTCAGGGCCTCTATGGTGACCACGTGCTTGAACCCCAGGCTAGTTCAGACCATCAAGGAATGTTGTGGAGACTGGTTTGTTTGGGGTTTTTTTTTAAGTGACAGTTTTTCTGTAAGTTACTTGCAGAAGCATCTGCAGGATTAAGGAATGCAAGTCCTAGTAACAGAGCAGTGTGGTAAAGTATAACCTTGTGGCTCTCAGCCAGACAAAAACACCTTCCACTAATTACATTGTACAACCAAGCTCTTAAAACATTCAAATGGTAAAAAATCCCAGTAGGGAAAGATCATCTGCATGAGAAGAGCATGAAATTGGCTAAACCAAATACAACACGTGCTTTTCACCTGGGCATCTTGGCTTCAGCCATGCACAGGAGGACCAAACTGCTCAAAGCCCCATCATATTTGAGTTCCTTCAACTGCTGTCAGATTCTGGGGAAAATCTCATCCGTGGTACAGTTGGGAGTGACCTTTAATGGGTTTTGCCATGGAAGAACAGGAGGAGCACAACTTTGATCTCAAAAATGAGACACCTAAAGCTGACAGAGTCCTCATGGTCACATCCCACCAGGAGCAGAGTAATCACAGGAGAAGTCATGAGCATGAGAAGCCAAACACTGAACAGGGGAGCCAGGCAGTGACCACCATGGAGATCAACAGCACCGGAGCCTGTCCATAAGGACGCTGCCCCATAAGGTGAGCCCGGTGACCTTTGTGTCTCCTTGGGTTCAGAAGCTGAGCAAGCGAGTGCCAGGGCTGGGGCAGGATCAGCAGCCTTTAGCAGGGCACACAGGGCACCACCAGGCACAAAGGATACTTGTGGGCGTTCTCCACCACGGGCCCCTGCCCGTCTACCAGCATGCACCTCTGGTGGAACTGGCTGAAGAGCTGCAGGGGGCTGTGGGACAGGATCACCTGCTCCGGAGGCACCTGCGGCACGGAGAGAGCGCGGCTGGGATCCGCAGGTAGGATGTGCCCCCTTCTCCCGGCGGTTCTGGAGCTGCCCCGGGCCGCGGCCACGCCGGGCACCGGCGGCGCTGCCCTGCCGGGATCGCTCGGGCTCCCTCCCGCCGCCCCGTCAGCGTTACCTGCAGCCCCAGCGCCCGGGACAGCTCTCGGGCCTTGTCCGAGCGCATGCAGTTCCCGGCGTTGGTCAGGAACACCACGGGCACCCGCAGCCGCCCGCCGCCGTCCGTCAGCCTCTGGAAGGCGCGGCGGGCGGCGGGCACGGGCTGGCTGCCCCGCACCAGCACGCCGTCCACATCGAACAGGAACCCGAAGGCCGGCGGCTGCAAGGCGAGCGGAGGGCACGGTCAGCCGGGAGCCTCCCGCCCGCTCCGCGCCCGCCCCGCACCCTCCGCGAACGCACCCGGCCGCAGAGCCCGCGGGCGGGCGGCCCCGGGGCGCGCAGCAGCGCCCGGCCGGCCCGCAGCGAGCCGCGCAGCGCCATCCGCCCCGGCCGCCTCGGGCTCCCGCCGCGCCCGGACTACAGCTCCCGTCCGCCCCTGCGGCCGGGCACGCCGCCGCTACCGGCCCGCGGCTGCCCGCGGGGAGCGGCCGGAGCCCCGCCAGCCCGCCCGCCCACACCCGGCTGCGGGCAATGAGGGTGCCAGGGAAGGGTTCTGCCGCCCCTGCTCCGGGCAAAGCGGGTTTGGCGAGAGCTGGAGAGAAGAGCGGGTGCTGGAGGCAGCGGGACCCGGAGGGAAAGGGGGTGCGCTGGCCACAAGCAGCCCTGCCACGCTAGAGGCGTGCAGAATGACCGGCGAGCCATGCTAGAAAGAAGAAGGCTTCTGATGTGATGAATAAGGCTATTCCGTAGCGTAGTCCTTTTTGTACAGTGGGAGTATGGTGGCCTTGGAATGTGCTTTCTCGTACAATGTCCCGTCATCATTGGAACATGACGAGAATAGTGGAGAGTAGGCGTAGAATAAGGAGTCGAGGGGAGTTGGAGTGGAATCGCGTTGTCAGTCCTGAGGTGGTCAGGAGAGCAGCAGCTGCTCCGAGGATGGGTCAGGGGCTAGGGTCTACTGTGTGGTAAGAATGTGCTTGGTGTCCCATTGAGAGTTAGATACTTTCTTGTAGGTAGAGATTTGGGCAGCAGGGAGCCAAAATCTTTGAGCCCTGCAGTGCAATCACAGCGGGTTTATCTGAGGCCTTCACAAAGTCAGAGAACGGGAGGCTGTCGCTCTGCGAGGGAAGTGCTCCCAAGCTGCTCGGTGATAATGGAGGCGTGGGCCTGGGCACGGCCTGGCTTCAGTCGGGCTGGTGCCTGCTCACCCTGGCTGCCGTCTGCATGCCCAGGAATGGCACCGCAGCCTGGCACCGCTGCCAGCCCACGGGCACGGCGATTGTCCTCGTGTGCTTGGCACTGGGGATGTGCTGCCTCGAGTGCTGCATCCTGTTCTGGGCTCCTCCCTGCAGAAAATTGAGGTGTGGAGCAAGTCCAGAGAAGGGCAGCGAAGCTGAAGGGTCTGGGGTTCTGTCAGGACTACTGAGGGAGCTGGGGCTGGAAGAGAGGCTCAGGAGAGACCTTATGGCTCTCCACAACTCCCTGACCTCCCCTGAGGTGGGGATCGGGCTCTTCTCCCAGGCAACAACAACAGGAGAAGGTGTGCCAGGCTGGGCATCATCCTCAAGGTGTGCCAGGAAGAATGCCTGGACATCAGGAAGAATTTCTTCACTGAAAGTGTGATCGGGTACTGGAATGGATTGCACAGGGAGGTGGTGGAATCAGCATCCCTGGAGGTGTTCAAGAAATGACTGGATGTGGCAATGACTGCCGTGGTCTGGTTAACAAGGTCTGGTGGTGGTTGGTCAGTTTGGACTTGATGACCTTGCAGGTCTTTTCCAACCTTAAGAATTCTGTGAGTTGCTGCCCTGCCTTTGCTCAGCCTTTTCTGTGCAAACGCTTTTTCCTACAGATAAATAAAGTTCTCTAAAACTCTGGTCACTTTCTTTACCCTTTGACAGACTGCATCCCTCTTTCCTGCACCCTGAAACAAATCTTGATGCTGAATTCAGCTGAGGCCCTTCCAAACCTGGGGAAAGTGAAAGGTTCATTTCACATCCATGGAGATGAAGCAATGTTTGTTTGCTTTCTGACTGGGCTTAGGATCTCCTGAGTCCCTCGACAGGGCAGGTTTAACACGTATGACTTTAGGCATCAATTACGCACTGTAATTGTTTGTTTTTACGCTTCCATTGCCATGAACACCAACCTTAATTTGTTTTTGACCCACTTTAACACCTAGAGCCCTATTTGCAGAGCTATTAAAGCGCTGGCAATTCAGAGATATACATTTGTACAGATGGTTATTCCTCCTTAAGTGCTTTTGCCTTAACTGAATTACCTACCGTTTATTTTTTGTAATTTCCTCAATTTGCCAGCATCACTTTAATTTCTCCGAAGTGTTTGCAGCTCATCCTGCTCTGGCAAAATTTATGCTGGCCTTGGAGACATTACTGAAAATATTTAGCTCTGTGAGGAACTGGGCTTAAAGCTTTCTTCCATCAGCACACTACAGCTACTCTGAAGTGTGCCTTCCCAACTATGCACAAACCAGAGGCCTCCAACCCTCACCTTCCCTGGCTGTCAGTGAAAAATAGCCAGAGAGAGAGGCAAAGACTTTCTGAAATTAATGACAAACACAGGAGCCTTGTCTCGAGTGCTGCTCACCCGTCCACCGAGGCGGTCCCTCCTGGCAGAGTGAAAATGTGATGGATTTGCTGTGATTTCTGCTCAGGGTGTTTGCTAACGGGGATTTATGACCTTTTAATGATACAGCCACTCACAAGTTAGACAGGTTGGGTTGTTTTGCTTGCTGGTTTTGGTGCCTCTAGACTGAACTGCATTGAGGAGGTCTCTCAGTCCCTTGTATTTTAAGTTTAGGGGTACTTTTGCCCCTTTCTACCCATTCCAAAGGTGCAAAAAAGAACTGGGAGAGACATCCAGACTGTTCTCTATTGCAGAGATTTCATTGCTAAAAAAATTTTAAAAAACTTAGTGTATTAAATATGCAGGAGTTATGGTGGGGGGGGAAAGAGGGGGACAGGTTGGGAGTTTTGGGATGGGTGTTTCTGGGGGTTTTGGGGCTGGGGGTTTCTGGGGGAGAGGTTTTTGGGGATGGGGTTTTTGGGGATGGGGTTAATGGAGGTGAGGGTTTTGGGGATGAGGGTTTTTGGGGCTGGGGGTTTTGGGGTGTGAGGGCTTTTGGGGCTGGGCTTAATGGAGGTGGGGGTTTGGGGGGCTGGGGTTAATGGGGGTTTTGGGGTTTCTGGGGGAGAGGGTTTTGGGGGTAGGAGTTTTGGCAGAGAGGGTTTTAGAGGTGAGTGATTTGTGGGTGGGAGTTTTGGGGGTGAGGGTTTTTGGGGGTGGGTTTAATGGAGGTGGGGGTTTTTGGGGTGGGGTTTTTGGGGGTGAGGGTTTTGGGGCTGGGGTTAATGGGGGCGTGGATTATGGGGGCTTTGAAGGAGAGGGATTTGCGGGTGGGGGTTTTGGGTGTGAGGGCTTTTGGGGCTGGGGTTAATGGAGGTGGGGGTTTTGGGGGGTGGGGTTTTTGGGGGTGGGGTTTTTGGGGGTGGGGTTAAGGGGGTGGGGTTAAGGGGGTGGGGTTAAGGGTTTTGGAGCGGGTTTAATCCCCCCGATGCGGGTTGCTATCCCGCTCCATCCCTGCGGGCGGCGCTCCTGCTCCACGGCCCGGGCGGGCCCGCAGCGCTCCCGGCGTCCGGCTCGGGGATGCGGTGGGGACGCGGGTCCGGCGGAGGGAGGGAAGGGAAGGGAAGGGAACGCGTTGTTCTGCTCCCGGGGGGGCTCTGGGGGTGTCTGCCCTTGGAGAGCTGTCCCCAGAGTGTGCGTGTGCTCTGCCCTGCGGGCTGCCAGCGCTGCCGTGTTTATTTTTCCCAGCAAGGCTGCCCAACAGGCTGGAGCGCTTATTTTTAAACCGACCCGGAGGGACTTTGCCAGCGGGCGGGCACAGGCTGAGCCTGGCACCGACAGCGGCAGCGCTGCCAAGCCCCGCGCTGTGCGGAGCCTGCTGAGCCCCAGCACCCCAGGCAGGATTTAGCCCATCATTCCCTCTATTCCCTTCCTAAAATCATCCCTGTGATGAATGCTCGTTGTGTCTTTTTCTCTGTGTCTGCTTGGAGCTTCCCATTCCGCGTGCTGTACATGGACGGACCTCGTGGTTTCCTCTGCCGGCGCATCTGGTAACAGCTGTACCCCACATACCCCTAGGGATCGTCTGTCTGTCTGCCCTTCTCACACCACCCTCTTCTTCCCCTGTCCACGCCGTGCTTGGACGTCTCCCAGCCCCTTTCACAGCTCACTATAAAGACAAGCAGAGCAGGCAGTTGCCCACAGCCTTCTCCCGTGGGTGCCTGTGTAAACTTTGCAGCTCTGTTTTCCCTGGACTCGCAGCCCTGTCATCACCCCCCCCTTCCTGACCTTCTCACACCCCCCTCGAATGCAGCCCTACCTTCCATCTCTGTCCTTCCTGCAGAGGCTCTAATGGCCTGGAGCAGCTCTCCCCCCACAGTTTATCTCTCCCCTTCCCATGCTGCAGCCTGCTCGGGGAATGATGGACAAGCTAAAAGTTGAGAAAATACAGTAAAATGCCTTTCTTATCCTGTAATGACCAAGGGGGAGGAGGACACAACCTGATAAAAATGACAAACCAGGAGAATTGAGAGCCAGACCCTTCACCTGCCTGTCCCTCAGTGCCCAGGAAACACTTGATAGACCTGCTGTGATTGCAGCTGCAGCAAGCCTGGAAAGAAAGGAATTAAGGACTGAGCCAATTAGAGCCACAGGTTTCTGACCAAAGAAATGTCCTTCTGCTACCTGTGAAGAGGCTAATTCAGAGACTTAGATAGGAAGAAAGCCTGAAGCAGGCTGATTATTTGGAGCTGGTGGAAAACACATCTGCAGCCCTGTGTTTTATGGCCAGAGGGCTTTGCTTAGCATCTGGCACCTGCACAGTCCCACTGCAGTGATGGAGGCTCACATGACAGATAGATCCAGCTGCTTGCTCAGGCCCATCTCTGTGTTCAACCACTTACTTTGCTCCTCTGTTTTTATTGGCATGATTTTTGACAGCAACCGCTGGTGCTGGATCAGCCATTTCCTGGCAGGCAGTGACCAGGAGGCAAACATTTCATCCTCTAAATTGCCCCAAAGGCAGAATAAGATGCTCTGCAGCAAACACTTGTGCTGCAAACAAAGCTCCATCCACCTCCCATTCAAACAAATTGAACCTGAAGAGGCCACAGGGAGTGACAGATGGGGGAGATAACAGGCATAAGGCTTTAAGTATTGCTATGGCTGCTTGAAGTAACTGTAATAGAAACTTCCATGGATTTTCTACTCTCCTTGCTTGCTCCTGAGTCTGGCTGGAGACTGAAGCAGGCTCTTTTTGCCTCTCTGTTTGCTGTACTCAGCCTCCTACCATCCTTGCAGCTGCTTCCTCCTCTTTCATCTCAGATATTGAAGATCTCAAGCTGGCACTTTCTTCCCATGCCCACCAGCAGTGCTTTGGGCAAAGAGCCTCACCTTGTACCCTGGAGTCACCTGGTGCTCCAAAAGGCAATTATTTGAAAATAATTCCCTTTCTTTGAAAAGAATGGGTTGATCATTTAGCCTTCTCCTTACTTCCCTCTATTCCCTTCCTAAAATCATGCTAAAACGAGGTTAAATGACCTCCAGTCATTTCTTTACTTTCCCGTGCTGCAGCCACCACAGAGATGGTACAAAACTGTAGTGGGAGGAGAGGCAGCAGGGGCAAATCCTGTCTGTCAGGTTGTCTCTGTATCAAAACACAGCCCTGAGCTGGGTGCAGCTGCTGTGGGGCTTGGGGAAGGGGGAACAGGGGTGCTGGGTAGTGTCTTGGCCAGGCTTGACACAGAGTTAGCTCTACAGATCAAACTGCCCTTTGCAGCATGCTGAGAAGGCATTTCAGGCTTCCTGATCCCTCCAGGCTGAGTGATGTGAGACATCCCCATCAAATCCAGGTATCCTCTGTTCTTTTTAACATGGAGACAAAAAAATAAAAAATAGGAAAAATAACCCCCATGATTAAGACAGGTTTGAAAATTTAATTATAGACTATGTTCTGAAAGAGACAAGCAAGGGAGCATTGTATGTGATGTATTTGCCAACAAATGTGAGCAGGGAGCCAAGGTACTGGGCAAAAGGGAGTAGACTGGCAGCAAAACCCTTGGAATTTTGCTACTAAAAGAAAGCTGAGTCTCAGTGAAGCCCTGCAGCCAAATTTACCCGAAGCTTGAATGGAGCTGAATGAATTGGTCTTTTATAACTGCTGTGGTCCAGCCTAAATTCCTCCTTTTTTGCACACCTGGAGTTAGAGAGGTGAGAATGCAGCCAGGGCTTCCCAATTTGCACCTTTCTCCCTGTTAAGACAGGCTCTAAGGAAGAGCAGATCCCAGCAGTAAGGCAGGCTGGCCCTCCCCCTGTCACACATTTCTGAGGGCTGCATCAGACCTGTGCCATCTTAAACCCCTGTGATTTTTGCAGAAACCTGATTCTGCTGTGATCCTGACGAGCATCACACCCTGGTGGCTCCAGGCACTTGGCCCCATCACAGCACAGCTGTGAAGGAGGTAAATGGCCAATGCACAGCAGGCTTTTCCTAGGAAAGCAAGAACAGAGTGGACACAACAGCTGGTTCCAGCAAGCATTTGACAGATGGAAGATCTAGCCCTGCAACTCCTGCAGGTAATGAGGAGAAAGGAGGACTACAGGTAAGCAAAAAGAGGTTCAGGACCTCAAGAGACCACGTGCAGGAGGAGCTGAAAGCTTTCTGCTGTGGTAGGAAAGGAAGGGGCATGGGTCAACCTGTGTGTTGAGGAGCTCAGCCCCTCCCACAATGGTTCTGTAATGATTAGCTTCACCTTGGCAGCAAAGAGGCTTATTTAAGGGAGAATCAACTCATGGCAAATAAAGATCTTCATCCATCCACATATAGCAAAGCTGAAAGATCAGGTTGCTGAGAGGGACAGGGCTTTGGGTTGCTGGTCAGCTGCCATTCTGCTTGTTTGCTGTGGTTTTGCTCAGCAACATTACAAGTAAAGCACTTCCCAAATCAGCATTTATAACCTGGCCATGACAAAAGCCTACCCTGAGCTCTCGATACAACCCATGCAGGAGGAGGGAGGGTGGCTCTGCTCTGGCTACTCCTCCAGTACAAAACTCCTGCCCAAGACCAAATCTGTACCAAGGCCCAGGAGAGGTCAGTCTGCAAAAAAAGCATCAGGATGCTTCAGAGGAAGATGCTGGGGGTGTGGGCAGAGAGAGCTGGAGCAGAGGTAGTTGTGGCTGGAAAGGGCTGGGGGTATAAGGCACTTAACCCCCCCCCCAGTTAGTGAGGGGTGTGAGTGGGTTCTCACTTTTTCATTTCTGTGGTTTGTGGTTTGTGTTGCTGCCTTCTGCAATGCACACACCTGTGGTTTGTTGTGATTTTATTTGTGTTCTGTGATGGGGTTCATAGTGTGTGTGGTTTAGATGGTTTTTATTTTCTCTGGGATAACCAGAGATGAGGTTGCAGCCTGTGAACTGTGGGCAATTTCACACGGGGCACACAGGCTGTGCAGCTTGATCCACTTCTGCAATAAGTGTGTGTGCCTCCTGCTAAGGTGCTCCAGCCGAGGTCAGTGGAAATAAACACTGTGGCCAAGCTGCTTGAGACAATTAACAGAAAGCATAAAGAGAGCCAATTGGCCCAGGCTGGTCAGATTAGCAAACAACAGCCTTTGCAAGTCTGTGCTTCAGAGGAGGGAGATGTCTTTCAGTAGGAATTTTTGTCAATTCTCCCTTGACTGATGCAAACCAGCATGATTGTACTGAAGTCAGGGAAAGATGCTCTTTGATCCTGGCTGCATGCTTGGCGTGTGTGTGATGAAAGGTTTTTCTGAATTTATTTAGCAACCTGATTAATATTTCTTTTTTCTGGTTTTGGGGTTTTTTGGGGATTTGGGGGGATTCTTTTGTTTTGTTTTGTTTTCTGGTTTTTGGCTTTTTTTTTTTTTCGTCTTCCCTGAAACTGGTTCTCCTCCTGATATTTTTGATGATGTTAAGACAGGGAATCAGCTTGTCAAGGGACTATTTCTTGTGTCGGTTTTTTGGGGGTTTTTTTGCCAAGGAGCTGGAAACCACAGAGGTCCAAATAAGCCCTGTGGATATCCACAGCAGTTCTCTACCAAGGTGAAAAATCTCTCTGACAGGCAGGATAAGGCCACATTTGCACGATGAGTACAGCAACAAAGGCTGGTAGTGGAACTCCCTGAAACCAAAAGGTGTTTCCTATAAATGTCTGTGTTAACACAGCCTTGTGCAGGGGGACAGTTTTAATCAAGCTGGGTCTGGGAAGCCAGGATGTTTTTGACTTAACCTGAAATGTGTTTTGTCTTCCTTTTGACCAGAGGACAGGAAAAGAGTTTGTAGTAAAAAAACTGCTGGCAACTGAGGCACCTCTCTTCTGGCTTTATGATCACTGTGCAACCAGGCTTAAATGTTGTGGGAGCAAGTTGCACCAGCTTGTTTCCAGCCATGGTAGGTCCTGAAATAGCAGACATCAGACCTATGACTGGTTCTTCGACCTAGCAGTGCTATTTTGGCTGCAGGCCCAGGGTTAAACATAACAAGAGTCATTTTCAGTCCTTGCTCTCTTGAAGGTCAGTGGCCCAAATGGTTGGATGTTTGTCTTTGCTGTTTCCGGCCAAGGTCTGCATTTTGTAATGATAAGGCAAAATTCAGAGATCCTCGTGTTGGCAATCTCCTGCTGACTCTCATTGGAAAGCATGTTTTTCCTGAATAAGGGTGTCAGGATTTGGCCATTGGCAAGTTTTAATTGTTTTGACTCTTGAGCAGGGTGATTTCTTGTGGTTGCTCTAAAGGCTCACTGCTCCCTGTTACCTGCAGCCCATGAGTTTCACAGGATAGTGCAGCTCCTTCTTAGCTTTAAGCCCATTAAGCCTGGCTTAGCAGAGTGGCCAGGTGAGACTTTGACATCCATTCATCTGCTCAGGTCACATGGAAGAGGCAGTCTCCCTCTTAGCAATCAGTCTGGCTCACTCTAGCTTGCCAAATGCTTTCTGAGATGAGCCTTGTCCTCTCTACAGCTCCCTCAGAAAGCTATCAGAGAGGTCAGCCACAAATTGGTCCCATTTTTTCTGCCAGAGCTCTTTGGCCTTGGCTTTCTCAGCCGGCAGCATGGCACTGTATCTGTGAGGAGGAGGAAAGTCAGTGTCAGGCAGGAGACAAGGGGGCAGCTATTTCAAGAGCAGCACTGAAATGAAAAGGCAGGAGGCAGCAAGAGTTTAACCCTTGCAGGACATGCCTGCACCACACAGAGTAGCATGTTGTAAAACAGGCAGGAGCTGAGGAATGTGCAGGGAGACCCTGGGTTTCACATCCAAACTATTTTTGGACATTCAGAACTGTCCAGTTAGTAGAAAAAGGGGTTAAACGCACCCAAATGAAATGCTAATTGTTTTCCTGTGTTTCTCCGAGTGCAAACACTGCAGCGAGTCAAATTTTGGCAGAAATAGACAAGTGATACAAAGACATACAATTTCTACCAAACCCAGAACCAGGTGCTGGAGGCAAGTTCCCAAAGAGTGGAAAAGGAGGAGTACACTGGGGCATGGAATCAGAGAAAGGCACTAGAGAACACAGGCAGAGGAGCCTCTGGGCTCCCTGTGTCCTGCCTTTGGAAGAGACACACAGGAGATTTTGGATTGACAGAAGCCCAGCTCCTGTGGCAGAGGAGACTCTGAGGCCAAAACCCAAAAGCAAGCAAGGGAGGAAAGCTGATTGTCTCCTTATGGTTACTACAACAAGGTGAGAGAGGTGATGAACTTACTTTATGGAGTTGAGTGCAAGCTGTTTTAGGGTCCTCAGGTCAGCATTCATGCCTCCAATGGCCATGAACACCTCGTAGAAGTCATAAGAGACTCCCTTTGCCCCAAAGATGGGGGGATCATCGGGGCTGACCACAATGGGGTGCCCTTCAGCCATGAGGTCAGCTGCAGGGTGACTCCTCAGGTCAGCTACCAGCAGCAGGACCTGGGTGGGGAATAGTGGGAGACAACACCATGCTGGGTTATTGCTGTAGCTGTGTCACACTGACACTGCCAGGGCTGCAGCTGTGTCCCTGACACCTTCCAGCAGGTAGTGGTCGGGGAGGGACAGGCTCCAGAGGACTGCTCACAGTGTTTTCTGCTCTGAGCTGCTGCAGGAGGAAGCAGCTTGTCCCCACTGACTGTACAAGGAGATTCATTTCTTAAATAAATCACCTTAATCAAGTCCAGTAGGGTGAATAACTTGTGCTTATTTAGAACAATTTGGCTGTGAGCAATTCAGGAACAGTCTTTTGGTTACACATTTGCTGTGGTGCTTAGTTTGAGGCATCTGGAGCTGGTATCAGGGTTGTCTCCCTTAAGGCTCACACCAGTAAATATCCCCCCAAAGTCCTTTCTGCTGCACCCAGGGGACAGTGGCACCTCTCTAATGTGCTGCAAAAGAGTTCCCACTGGTTATGAATTCTGCAAAACCAAGGACTTCCAGTTACAATCCCTGCTTCTCAGCCTCTGGCCCTCCTGGTTTTGAAGTATTTTCAATTATGTTTCTTAAGGCACCTCTGTGTCTGTGGGCCTCATCTCCACTAGGGAGGACTGCCTTCCCAGGTTACTCTGGATAGGATTTTAAATTATTTTTTTGCTGACTGGCATTACAAGCCTTAAATATATTCACTTTTGCAGCACCTTAGATAGCAAAGTGCAGTATAAGGTGCTGCAAAGGAAACTAAGCCAGGCTATGTGCATCAAAACCTGTAGGTGCCCCCCAGCTGACCCTCACAGCAATGGTGATCCCCTTTGCAGTGACCCAGCCACATAACAACATACCTGGTTGGAGATGGGACAGACTTCCACAGGAATATCCCTCTTCAGAGACAAATTTTTGGCTACTGGGTGTTTAATGAGAGCGAGTCCATGGCCAATCCTGCTGGTGTTCAGTAGCAATGCATCCAGCACATTATTGTCTACAGAGGTGCCCTGCCAGTCTGAAGAGAGAAAGACAAGAGTCACTGCAGTGCTGTGAGGAGGTAAAGCTCCTCAAACTGCTAGATGATTTTGTTAATAGAGGTCCCAGTTGTGAGGTGAGAGGGTTGCTCATGCTCAGAGTTTCCATTTGCATTTTCAGTGAAACAGGGATCTAAATCTGCCCAGGATATTGCCCAGCATGGAGATACCCACCCATCTCACCTGGCTTCAGATGTTTGCAGTATTGCTCTTGCAGCTGAGTTAATTATGCTGGACTCCATTACTTGTCAATGGAGAAAAGTAACAATTATTGGGGAGTAGCCTGTGCATTAGAATGAGATGTGTTTTAAGCTGAAATATTATTTCACCTTCACCAGCAATAACTCCTACACCAGGTCAAAGATGCTGGGCAATGTGACACCTACAGTCCAGAGCAGGGAGGGGTCATGTGGGAATGCCACAGCCCCAAACTGATAAGGAGAAAAGCATAGGGGAAACTGGTTATGTGCACATGTATGCACACACATCCTCTTGATACAGCCAGCAAGCCGGCCAGGCTTGCTGCTTCTGCTCTTGGCAGGATTTCAGTCTTGCCTCTGCAAGCAGTAACAAGCCTTGGGTCCTCATGCTCACCAGTCTCCCCAGCATGGAAGAAGTAAGGCAAGTTGACCCCCATGGAATATGGGATGGTCAGGGCATCCTTCAGCTCCCATAAAGAATGACCTTGGTCCTCATCACCGACCTGGGAAAAGCAGAAAGGTATTTTTGAGCATGATTGGGAAGATGGTGGGACTTAGAGCTCTGTATAAATGAGGTGCCAGCTGTGCTGAAATTACAATGCTGTGGGGTAGGGAGCTGATTCTTTCAGGGGATTTTGTCAATTACCCTGAACAAAATCCTTAGCTGGAGGATTTGCAATTCATTAACACTGATTTCAGTACAGCAGCAGAGGTTCTGGCTCTGGTATAGAACACATGCCACGGGATATATGTGGTTATGTCAGCAGGGGTCAGAAGAAATTCAGTTACCAGGTCAAAGCCTGCCAGGGTGTCTGGGAAGCGGGCTCTGAGTGCCATGGCAGCGATGATGTCTTCTTTAATCTGGGAGACATTCAGCATCCTAGAGAGCAAGAGAGAGAAAGAGCTGCAGAAGCTGACTCCCATGGGCCTGCCTTCTCAGGGTTTGAGTTGTGAAACGGGGCCCCCAGGGGTATTTCCAAAATGCAAGTTGCTCTTGAATCTGACAACCAGCTTCAGCTCTCTAGAGAAACAGCAGTAGAAAATTGATATTATGAAAGGAAACCCATGAATGACCAGGAAATGCCTGGCTAGACCCTGCTGTCACTTGAGTTGAGGCATGCTTGTCTAACTCACTGGATTTCCCATTTACCAAGCAGGGAAGGGAACACAACAATGTGGAGAGAAAATGTTTCATTTTTTTTTCTTTCCTCCCAGCTGTTTTGTTGGGATGTGAGGCAGTAACTGCATTTCAAGAGAGTTTTCCATTTAGGTTTCTTCCAGCCCTATCAGACTTAAACTTCTTGGTGCATTTTGCAGACTGTGTCCATGCTCAATCAAGCTGGCCAGAGAGGCAAGCCAGCTCTGAACTGGAGAGGGCATTGTGCCAAAGCAGAGCTGTGCTGCTGATGTCTGCTGTGCTTGCTGAGGATCACCTCACATGACTTCATGGCATCTGCCTGCTTGGAGGGCAGCAGCACGAACATGCCGTGCACAGGCTGCAGGGAGCAGTGTGTGCCAGGTCCCATGGGCCCTCTGCCACACCAGGTGCCCAAACTCGGGCACTGCCGTCACTGCTTCAGTGTCTGCAGAGTGGGGGAGTGCATCAGGCTCAGAGGAGAGCAGGCATGGCTTAGACACACACACAGGCAGCCCTGCCTGGGCTCATTCTCACTCCCAGGGCTCATGGACGCTCCTCTGGTGCTCACCTCGCACGTAGGCAGACCCACACGGATGAATTCTCACCCTCAGCCTTTCACACGTGCCAGGGAATGTCTCAGGAGCAACACCCCAGCTCCAGCAGCCCACGTGGACATTGCCAACCAACCTTGGCATCCCAGCATTGCCTCTCCCAGCCCCCTGCACATGGTACAGCCGCTCTCAGCCCTGCTCAGCCTCTACCTGTGTGCTGCAAATATAACCTTGGCTCCAACAAAGTCCGGGTGCTCCTTCACAAACTGCCTGGTCACTTCCTGGTAGGCTGCCACAGACCAGGATTTATTGTGCTTGGTGCCATCCAGTTCATACACCTGCCGTGTGAGAAGCAGTAGTTAGAAGAGGTGTTTTACTGTAATTGGGAGAAATGAAGTGACAAAAACCTTGGGAGAAGCAGAGTGCTGTGGTCCTGACAACAGGGCAGGAAAACAAAAGCAGTGAAATCTGTGCAGAACATTTCATTCTTCAAGTCTTTACCAGCTGGCAAGAACCAAGGAGTGGACTTCCCCCCTCCTGTGTGATACAAGTTTCTCAGTGTTCAGACATGGCAAGCAAACGCCCTTGAGAACTCCTTGGAGACCGTGACCTCTCACTCCTGTCTGCATCCAGCATTGCAGTGCTTTGTCCAGCTGTCTGCAGCTCACACATGCTCTGTGCCTTGCAGTGGCAATCTGTCAGCTGAGGCCGCCCCAAGGCACGCAGTGGCAGAGCTCCATAAGCTACCAGCTGAGCTGGGCTCCTGCTGCTCCCCTCTGCCAGAGGTTTGCTTCATGACCTTGAGTCAGTCATTTAGTCCTGCCATGCTTTTCTCAGGTCTCTGGCTGCAAACTGGGAAAAATAATCCTTTTGGCATGCTCTGTCTCATCAACTTGCTCTGGGGGTTCCTCACTACCAGGGCTGTTTTTTGCCCTGATTTCAGCAGGGGTGAAGACCCTGAATTGGTACTAACCCACAAAGGCCCTGCCTGGAGTCACTCACAGACAGCAGCTGAAACCACTCCATCAGTTCTCCTCTCACCCTTCTCACTATTCTTTTCTCTGTCACCTTCCTCCTTCAGCCTTCAAAAGCTCCACTTCCCCCCCTAACTTCCCCTCTGGTGCTGTCCCTTGCAGGGATGCCCCTGCAAAGCCCCACACCCTGTCACAACGTGGTGTCCCCCTTGCAGGCACCAGCAGCCGTGGGGCAGCTGCAGATGCTCAGAGGGAATTTTCCCCAGCTGCAGCCCATGGGAATGTGAGACTTTACACAGCTGAATCTGCAAACACAGCTGGGCTTAGGGGGCTTTTCCACACTGTTTGCTGTTTCACACTAAATCCCAGTTTCATTTACTTTACCTTGGGGCCGCTTCTGGCAGGCTTTGCTGCAGGGAGAGCTTTTGCAGCCTCAGCGCTGCTGTGGAGCCTTGTGGAGGCTCTCCAGCCACACGAGCACCTTGCTATTCCTGTCACACCCTGCTCACCTTGACTTTCCCCATGAAGCTTTTCCCTTCCCTCTAACCCCAGCTTCACCCTGGCTGTCCCTTTGCTGCCCTCCATCCCGGCGTGGCTGTGGCTCCTGGCATTCCCTGCTGTGGTACCTGGAGCTCACAGCACTGGAGCTTACAGAACTGGAGCTCACAGCCCTGCAGCTCACAGCCCCGGAGCTCACAGAACTGGAGCTCACAGCATTGGATCTCACAGCACTGCAGCTCACAGCTGCCGGCTGCAGAGGAGCCCCAGGGCTCTGCAGGCTCCCACGGCTGCCGCCAGCATCAGGAGCTGGATGGGAAGCAAATCTTCCCTGCCAAACCTCTCTTCAAAAGGACTCACAGCCATGTCTCAGGGCTGATGGTAAAGGCAGGGCATTTTCCAAGCAGGCCCACGCACTTGTATCGTGGCAGATATTCTTGGCCTGGAAACCTGTGTGGCCTGGGGGGATGCCTCACAAAATGCACAGGCATTTTGACATTGCTGTTATTTTCTCTTTACAGGTACCCCAAAGACAGGTGGTGACTGAATTCAGAGCAGCTGGCTTATGGCAACCCCCAGCAAAGTAAGACTCATGTAAACTTTGTGGACTTCTCCACATCCTTTTTTTTCTCCCCTTGGCAATACATCCTTCTCTTCTCAGGTATGATAGACTGACAGAATTCCCACCCCCATGGAGTCCTGCATGGAGCTGGGCTGGAGAATTGCATGGGAAAGGTATGTCTGCAGTTACAAAATTGTCACTGGGAAAGCGGGAACACTTTGGGTGGTGTGGTCTGCTGGTGCTTGGGGAGGCATTAGGGCAGAGTGGGCTTGGAGGACAACCAGACCAGCTCTGGGTGAAAGGCCTGAACCATTACCAGATATTGGTGTTAGTGGTAACGAAAGGAGCAGTTCATACTTCATTCACACAGCCAAAATTTTAGGTTGTCTGCAAATTGTGCTAGGTTGTGTTTTGCCAATTGATTGACTCACCTATTCAGAGTAATCATTCTGAAATAAGCTGAGGATTTGAAATAGCATAACTATTTCAGAATAAGTCTCTATCCAAGTCAGGAAATTTGTTCAGAGCAGCTGCCACAGAACAGGTGATTCTGGTGCAAAACTGAGCTACCTCTTCCCAATGAGCAAGATTTTGACCCAGCTCCCAGCCTGAGTGTACAATGTAGTTTTGTGCCTATGCCACAGCAGGTATCTCCCTTAGCCACTAAGAACAAAGAATCTCTCAAGCCCTTGCCTATGCAAATCTCCAAGAAAGATGTTTGAATATGATCAAGGTTTTCCAGCATCCTTAGGAGGGCAGGTATGCAAACAGCCAAAAACTAAATTCAAGATAGGGCTTGAGAAAAGCTATGGAGAAATAAGGATTTAAAAGACTACTAGAGAAGCCAAACCCCACGTACCGCAGGCAGGATAGCTCTTATCTCAACATACTGTATGTTATCTTCATAGAGCTCCAGCAGCCCCCGGTAGAAATAGGCCTTGAACACAGGTGCATAGCAGATAAGTCCAGAGGCAATGAGAAAGACTTCTTCAAATCTTTTCCAAATGAAAGCCTGAGAAGGGTAGGCCAGCTCAGGGCTATCCGTCACCAGGGTCAGGTTTCTCAGCAAGCTATAGAAAAGGAAGAAGAGAAGGAATGAGGAGAGCAAACAGAGCCTGTTGGCACTGCAGTACAACAGTGGCTAGTGCAACTAGGAAGCATTCAGGTCATTTTTCTGCCACCTGTATTTACTCCTTTAGTGGCTGGCACAGAATTTGTATGATACATGTTGAGCTGTAAGCAGGGTAGGAGTAGGTGCTTAAAACCTGCCCACCATCCCTTTTTCAAGGAACAGAGTTACAAAAGCAAGCACAGTGCTTTTATATCAATTATACTCTGCTACCCAGGGTATCCCTAACCTGGAAATATTTTATATCAATTATACTCTGCTACCCAGGGTATCCCTAACCTGGAAATATTTTGTATCACTTATACTCTGCTGTACAGGGTATACCTAACCTGAAAATCTTTTATATCAATCTTACTCTTCTACCCAGGGTATTCCTAATCTGAAAGTAGGCATGCACATTACTCCTGCAGACAATGTGTTTTCCCAAGAATCTTCAGTGTGCATAAAATGTCACAACTCTTGGTCCTTTATTCAGCACCTGAAAGGCAGATTGAGTCTACAGGACATGCCATGTGCTGGGCCACCACCAGCCTGCTTGCTGAGCCTGTAATTTGTCCTGGTACCTCTGTAGTGTCAAAATATGCCACCCAAAAAAATGCAAGGGGAAGACAGTTTTGAATCAGAAATCATTTTTCCCAGCCACTGAGAATAAACCTGATGCCCCACCTGCCTTGCTGATAGCTACTGCAGGGAAACAGCTGATAAGAATCTCAGTCCTGGCTTTTCCTTACTGTGGTGGAAATGTATTTATTTCCTCCATCCACTCAGCTGGCATATGAGCCTCTTTCAGAAATCCAGAGAGACAGTGGGCAGTTTTATCAAGCAGACTTTAAGGGAGCCAGTAAACTGCAAGAATATCTGATTGTGGGTGACAGCCTGCATTTAGGACAGGGTGAGGATCTGTGCCATGCCACCGTCCTCTGGCAAGCTGATAGCCTTCATCCCACCTTAAGCCCTCCTTCTTCCACCTGAAGAGTAGCTCATAACAAAATTCTCCTACCAGTGGGCAAAGTCTGAATGGCAATGCAGGGGTGATGAACTCCATTCCTGGGTGGACAAATGGAAGCCATCACAGAAACCTACAGATGTTTTCTTGCTGGCCCAGTGCTTATCTCGTGTCAGGGGCTAAGCAGGTTCAGACAGAAATACCTTCAGCCATGCTTCAGCTTTCATCTGGGTATATTGCTTCCCCTCAATAACAGCTACTGATCTTTAATAATGTTTCCTGTTTGATGTCTTGGCCCCCATCCTCGTGCAGTGCTCTGCTCTGTTATATGGGAGGTGTGGCTTTGATTTGTGGTCTTATTATCTTCATCCAGGACACTTCTGTGGATGGAATTAAACCCCCACAGCCCCCCTACAGATGTAAAATGTGCTCTGGTCCAAATTCATAAACTAAGACATCCTGGGCAGATATGCCTTTTGAATCCCTCCATCCTGCCCATAAAGCAGAGCCTGTTCCCCCAGGATTTTCCTGCAGTTTCACTCTCTAAGGATTCTCTTCCAGCGCCTGCAGTTTCATTTCTTCCTCACTCTGTTAATTTCTTTGCCAGCAACAATTTTAGAAGCAAACCTGTACATAAAAGAGATGCTACTACTGTTAAGGATGAGACTTTAAATGCTCAACAGTCAGGAAAATTCAGAGTTAAGGTTTCCACAGCAACTTGGGCTCTGCCCTCCCATGCATTACAATAGGGGCTTTGGTGCCATTATCCAGGACACTGGGCAACCCCAGCTACTGTTCAGTAATCCATGCAAGCAGAGGAGACCGAGCTGGACCACGGGAGGGGCGAGGAGCGAGGAGACACCGCAGCATCACCCTAGAAACCGGGAATGCGGGAGTCGGGAGCATCCCGGAGGCGCTGATCCGGCTGCCCCAGCTGCGGAGGGGGGCAGAGAGGCTGTGCTGCCGCTCATCGGGGCGGTGTCGTGTGGGAAGGAGGATTTTCCCTTCCCTCTGGCCGAAGGCAGCTCCCCTCCAGCTCGGCACCTGCCCGCAGCGGCTCCGGGACAAACCTCCCCGTGGATCAAAAGGCCGTGCAAGCCCGGTCTCGCCGTGCAGGCAGCTCCCTTCCAGATAAGGATGGGTGCTCAGTCGGGCTCCCAGCGCTTTCTGCCCTCGTCCTGTGAGAACCCGGCTCCTCCAGCGCCGAGCGCACGCAGGGCTCCGCTCCCCGCCTTTAAATCTGCCTCTACAAACTCGTGGCTGTTTGCTTAGCCTGTGCTCTTGGGCTAGAAACAGCCATAAATCCCCACACCACCCTGCTCCTAAAAGCACATAAATCAAATTGTGCTTCTCTTTATAATCCCCTTCCCTTTGAGACTGATTATTGATCCTTACAACTGGTGAAGATTTATTGCATAATAGTGATCCATCCTTGATAACCAGATAATCTCCTAAGGGTTCGGGGGCTTTTGCCATCAGTAGCTCATGCAGATGAAGCAAAGCTTCATAAATACTTTCTTCTTTTGCTTCTTTTCAGGAATGGGCCTTGGCCAGTGATCAGGTGCAGACTACAAATAGCCTTCCATGTCATGTCATATATGCACTGAACAATGCTATTGCAATGCATATGCCCGAAGGGGCACAGCTAAAATGACCAGCCAAGGATTATTTATTTTCAACTGTGCGTTTGTTTTCTCTTTTCCTGGATTTTTCCCCCGTTTTCCTTTCCTGTGCTATATAATACAGAAGTGAAAGGTTTTGTTGCCTTGTTTTTAAAGGGAATCTTTTCCCTGCTCCTTTTTCTGCTCTCGATGGGTAATTATGCCCCTCTCCTCACCGTGGTATCTAAATGTCTTCCAGTGGTGCATTAAATAGTGTGACTAACATCTGTCACATGTGGTTCATTCGCTTGCTCTCGCTCTCTCTCATCCCCTCTTCTTCTCCCCAAGGGGAGACTTGTAGAGGGAGTGGAGTGCTTTGTTTCTGTGGTGGATTTTTATTCCCCTTTTCCCCCCCTCTCACTGCACACACTGCCCTATTTTTCTGTGAGATAAGGCAGTCAGAAGACACGGAGGGGAAGGTGATGGCAGCCGGGGCCGCCGCCAGTGCCCAGGGGAGTTGTCCCTGCAGCCTGGGCCGTGGTGTCAGCTCCCTCACAGATGACTTCATCCTGGTGATAGAGAGCTCTGCTGGGCACGGCCTCAGCCCTTGTGCTGCTGGTGGGGGGTGTGCAGTGGTATTTTACAAATAGCTGGAATGTCAGTGCTGCTTCCCTAAATATCTGGGGGCATGCTCTTGCTTTGGAGGTGGCAGCCATTATGTTGCTTCTTGAGGGAAAGAATGACATTCTCCTGAATTGTAATTGATTGTGAAGAAAATAAGTGAGGATTGTTTTTCCTTTTAAGTAGGAAAGCAAAATTCCCTTCCTTTCGCTGTCCCTTGGCCCGTGGTCTCCTGGCTCTCCTAAGCGCATCCTTTTGGAAGCTCACCAATAACACAATCCTCCAGGGTCTTGGCCCATGAGATGTGTGCTTTGAATAGGAATGATTAGACCTTCTCTTGAGGGAAACAAACAAAAGGAGTCACTTCCAAAGCACACACAGACGCACACACACAGACACACGTATATGTACCTAAAAATGCAAACAACAAAAAAATCCTGCAGATTCCCCTTTCTTCCACCCCTTCCTAGTCAAATGCTTTAAGGTGAAAAAGGTGCAGCTTCTCAGAAACATTTCCATTGTTCCTTCATATTTGCTGATCCACCCTGCCTTGCATGAGAGCCCTTCCCTGCTGCCATATTCCCTTGACACTTCCTTGAAACCACCCAACTATCCATCCGTTCTTTGCTCTGACATCTGCTTTCTCTCAGCTTGTCAGTGCTCAAGGGCAAAGAGGAGTGCAGGAGAGAGGTAGCCTGGGATGCACATGTTCAAGAGACTGGGAGAGCTTCCAGAAACTGAGAAGCAGAACAGATTGGGGCCTATTCCTGGCTAGAGACCTATTTCCAGACGGCCAAAAACATTCCTAACCCCTAGACTAGTGCCCAGGGATTAGAGGAGAATAGGAGGGGAAGTGCCTCAGCGTGGCTGTTGTTGGTGTGTTTGCACATTATGCCTAATGACTCCTCTGTGATTTTGTGCTGATGAGCATGGAAGGGCAAGAAATGAAGGACAACATGCTCAAATGGGTAAGTGAGCACCCAGGATGCCAGAGATCCGAGTTTGTTCTTGGCTCAGGCAAAAGAATCCCCCTCCAGATTTGGGGAGACCCTTGCAGCAAGGCTCTGTCCTGTGTCCCTGTGCTGTGCCTGCCACTGTCAAGTCCTGCTCTGACTTGTGGCCACTAAACGCTGTCAGGCAAACACAAAAGAAGAGAAATGTGGCAGTACTGCCTCTGAAAACAAGTGTTTCCACACAGGAACAGAGGGAGCCACACAAGGCACAGCCCCAGGTGTACAGGGTGTACAGGGTGCCCTGCCCTCAGCCTCTGCCAGAAAGTGGCATCATGCCATGGAAGCACAACCAAAAACAAGTGCAATGAAAGGTTGCTCCTGAGACACTCCTAAATGTCCACTGCAATTGCTGGGGCTTTAGGGAAGTGAAGCTGTTTCAAAATCCAATCTCTTGCACGTTATTTATAGGTCTCCTGGTGTGGTTGAAGAGAGCTGCTGCTGTCATCTTTCCTTCCTCATCACTCCCAGCAGAAATGGAAGGGAGCTAATGGGGAACCAGTTTTCTCTGTGGCAGACAGAGATCAGAGACTTTTCACTGGATCTTGTTTTGTCCATCTCGTGTCAGGGCAGTTGAGCCTCAGAGTATAAAAGGTCAAGAGCCCAGGGTCTGGCATCACTTTCTCCTTCCCTTCTGGACTTCCATAAGAGAGGGATGGTGGATGCCCTGGAGGGTCAGACCCCTCTGAACTTCCACAAGAGAGGGATGGTGGATGCCCTGGAGAGTCAGACCCCTCTGAACTTCCACAAGAGAGGGATGGTGGATGCCCTGGAGGGTCAGACCCCTCTGCCCTGCCCATTGCTGGTTTTGGGGAGGGAAGGCAATACTGTGCCTCAAGTCTGGAAGCTCCTCAGCTTCCCAACCTGACCTCCTTCCCAGATCTGCAGGGCACAGAGCCCAGACAGCTTCCACGTGGAGGGGACACCAGCTCACTAAGAGTTAAAAGGTCTCCATGTAAGAGCACACAGCCTCACTGGAGAGCCCTGCAGTAAAACCAACCAAATTTCACTTGGGAAATGCTGGAATTAGGGTCCTCTGCACTGCCTCAGTCCAGCCCTGCCGTTGTGTGTTGGCATGGCAATCCTGTCTGTCATTACAGGACACCCCACACCCTGCTGTTTTTCTTGCAGCCCCCAGAGTGCCACGGACAGCAGTGCCCTCTCAATGGATGGCTACTCAATATTTTCCTTTGTCCTCATCGCTCAGTGTCTGACTTCATGCATTATTTAGTGTGCTCTCTCCAGCCCCCCACACACCACGGCAGAGCTGTCTGCTTCCTCTTGGCCTTTCCAGCAGGGCTTTGTCCCAGGATCAATGGCCCCTGGATGGGGAGATGGGACTCTGTGTTCCCATCACCACTGGCTGGAGGGGGAACCAGGCTCTTCCCAACCACCTGTAAGTGATTAAATGCCAGGTGGCTCAGACAAGCCCAGTCTGATAAAAGGCTGCCAGCAGTGAAGGCAGGAGCTGCCTGCAGGGAGAGGAGCTCCTGCAGGAGGGTGAGTGATGCTCTGGGGAGCCAGCTGAGGTGTGAGCAGCTGCAGGAGCCTTGCCTGTAAGGGCAGGAGCTCTGCTAGCAGGAGGGTGTTTGAGGGGAAGGAGCCCCCAAACCAGGCAGGGGTTCTGTGTGTGGGGTTCCTCGGCTCAGCCAGTGCCCAGGAGGGTGAGCCACAGCTCCTGGTGCCTGGTGGGAATGAGTGCCTCATGCTTCCAGGTGGTCGGTGACACTGGGGCTTCAAAGGGAGGCCTCAGAAAACAAGTTTGGTGTTTGGAGGGACAGTTGGGTTGGGTTTTATTTTTGGGAAGTTTCAGGGGTTTTGCTTGTACAGTAATTAACATAAATAGTTTGCCCAACTTCTTGCTCTGAATCAAAACAATGACTTTGCAAAGGACTTTTCTACTGTTGTGGAGAGCCTGTTCATCATCTATCTGGCTTCCCCATCCAGTTTTTGGACACCTCACTGGCTGAGGCACAATGCAGCCCTGTCCCACATTGAGAGCCCATTCAGTGCTGAGGAGAGCTGGGGCCAGGTCTCATACATCCACTTTAGCTTCTGTCCTCAGTGTGTGTTCACAGAAAAATTCAGGTTTTTTGGTCCCTGACTGGTGCACTTAATGCAGCAGCCTTCAAACCCTTACATTGCTGTCACTGTTAGGTTGGATGTGACATACACAGTGATCAGTGTCTAAGAAGAAAAAAGTTTCTAATCTGTTTCTGTGCTGATGGCTTTGTCTTCTTCTTTGCTATAGATACACTCAAAAACCATCAATTGCCATTTCTTCTATTAACTCAGCTTTGCTTGCAAGCCAGCTGTCAAACCCCTTCATACATTCATTGCTATTTGCTTTTCCCGCCCTAGACGGAGTTCCTGACCTGTAGAGCAGCGAGCAAAGGGGAAAGCTGTCCCAGAACGGAGCACCAGGAGGCCGCCCCCGTGCACTCACCCTCTGTCGAACTCGGCCACTCGGTCGCGGAGCTGTCGCCGGTAGGTGCCCAGCAGCAGCCACGGGGAGCAGCGGGGCGCGGGCGGCGGCCGCGGCCGGGAGAAGCGGAACCGTACCGAGCCCGCGGCCGTGAAGCAGATGTGGCAGTCGGGCAGGTAGGAGGCATTGAACACCAGCCAGCCCGCGCTCAGCATGGCGAAGTCGTGCAGGTGGAGCACAGCGCCTGGTGGGGGGGACAGGGGTGTCCTGGTGAGCCCAGGCAGCTGGGGAGAAAGTTTAATGGGGCACCAGCCTGTTTGCCCAGGTTTGGTGGGGGTACCAGCCTGTTTGCCCAGGTTTGATGGGGTACCAATTTGTTTGCCCAGGTTTGGTGGGGTAACTGTTTTGCCCATCTGGGGGTGTCTGGAAATGCTTTAGAAGGCTTTAGTGAGTGAATTCTCCCAGCAAGGACTGCACTGCTGCTCTGCCTCCCCCAGGCTGGAGGATGTGCCCCCTCCACATCACACACTGGGCAGAGAGAGTGTGACAGCTTGCTGGGAGCTCAGGGAGGGGGAATCGATAGGGAGCTCTGCTGCTCCACTGGGATGGAAAATGCTCCGAGTTATTAAAGGTCTTTCAGGCAGAGTTTGCTGTGAGCTGGCTCAGGCCCCACTGCTTTAAAGAGAAACTTGCACAGGAGGCAGCAGTTCACAAGGCATGCTGGCTGGAGCACACCCGAAGCAAAGCTCTGTATCTAGGTTGTTTGGATCCCAGCTTCAGTTTTTGTGCCTAGTGTGTGTCTCTTCTTTCAGCTCTCTGGAGCTCTGGCATACACCAAAATCCCAGACCATGTTACTCTGGGGAATTGCACTCAGATGCAAAGTACATTTTACTCTGTGCCTTATCAAAAGCATGCTTGCCTACATTGTACATCTGCTGCTGGCCAGCACAGAGGGCCTCTGGGGTGCTCTGTTCTTGTGCAGTGCGTTGGCAGCTGCTAGTCTTCCTGGCACAGGGAGCACCCTCTCTGTGCTCACCTTCCTTATCATTTCGTTTTGCTGAGATCTCTCCTTTTGCAAAGGCTCCTGGTGCTATTGGTGCTTGAACTAAGCCTCACCTTTGTGAAGGGAAGACACTGTGAGAGCTGAAGTCTTAGATATGTATTTTATTAGTCTGGAGGAGACCTCTTAGTCAAAATAGCTTTGATGCCCTGAAGGGTAAAGGGACAACATGAATAGCAAGAACAAGACTGGTATGTATTTGACATTAGATTAGGTTCCAGACTACAATTTACAGTGGACTAATGTAATATAGAGTCATGTTTATGATCTCCCACTACAGAGGGTCTGGCTGTTGAGGTGCTGAGGAGCTGTGGTTGCTGCTCTCAGCAGAGCTGGTGCGCCAGGCTGGGCATGCTGCAGCTGTCTGACCCTCCTCTGCCTGGCAATGTCACCTTCTTCCCTGTGACAGCAGCAACAGACATTACAGTAGTGCTTGAAACAACAGGGACTCCCAGGGGCTCTGATCAAATCCTACTCAAACAGCTACAAGGATGTGATCTTGGCCCTAAAAGCATACAGCCCTTGCAAAGATTCCAAGAGCCCATTTAGACATTGCCAGGACTGAAAAGTGTTAATTATTTGTTTTGACTCCCACTTGGTATCAATGATACTGGAGGTAAAGAGGGGAGTACTTTTAAATTTCTGACTGTTCAATTCAGCCATGACAGGATAATGACATTTCTGACACACTAGTTTTTTATGTTAATGGTTGGGATGCTGCAGGACCAGGATCTGCATCCCACAGTGGAGACTGGGAGGGAGAAGTTGGGAAGATTGCTCAGGGCCACATCCAATCTGGCTGTGAACACTTCCAGGGATGGGGCAGCCAAAACTTCTCTGGGCAACCTGTTATGTTGTCTCACCACCCTCTGAGTAGGCTTACTAACATCTAATCTAAATCTCTCCTCTTTTAATTCAACACTGGTCCCCCTGGTCCTGTCCCTGCCTGCCTGTGTAAAATGTTGCTCTCTCTCCCTTTTATAAGCTCACTTTAAGTGACTTTGACTTGACACAACAAGCAAAGAACATAATGATTTCAGTGTTAGAGGTAGCCCCTTCCTCCTCTGGTGCCCCCAGACTTTCCAGCACACTTCCAGGTCTGCTACAGCACCACCTGCACCTTTTTGGGGGATGCAGCACTTTTGGCTGAGATACAGAATAAGGTTGTTAGCCTGTCCATGGAGTGTGTCTGTGGGAAAAAGAGAGGCCCTGGCTGGGACATGCTGAGTCAATGGGGATGTCTGGTATTTCTCATTGGTTTTGCTTCCTCTGTCCCTTGTCCACTCTCGAAAGACTTAAGGATCCATATTGTAAGTTAAACCAAATGCCACAATTGCTGGAAATGTGTATTCACCCAATCCATCCCCCTCTTCCTCTCCTCAGGGCTTTTCCTGAAACCCAAAGAGCACAATTTACAGCTCTCAGAAGCTTTTCTCCCACATCCTGTGTTTTGTCCTAGCTCAGAAAGCAAAAGATGAGAAAGGATGAGTAAGATGAGGCTCCTTAAGCCAAGCCTACCTTTAGGCATGCGCTTTAAGATGCTGAACACCTTGCTCTGGTCAATGAGGCTTTTCGCCCTGAAGAAGTGCATGCTTGGAGGGAACTGTCCTGTAGCTATGGCTGCTTCCACTTCCTTCTTCTTGAGGTCTACCAGCTTTGTACTGAGCTGCTGCTCCTGCCTGCTCAGCACCAAGTTGCCACCTGTCTGGTGGGCTTTCTCCTGCTGCATCAGGGAGTCCCTGTCCTTCCAGAGGGGGCTGGGAAGGCAGGGGGCAGCCAGGCTCAGGAGCAGGAATGCCAGCCTGATGCCTTGCCCAGATGGAGCTTTCATCTTAGAGCTGCACCTGGACAGGGAGAAAACACTGAGGCTTTAGCAGAGGTCAGGAGGGAGCACCTTGGCAAGGGGATGTGAAGTTGTTGGGTTAGCAACAGCATCATGCAGAGGCAGGGGGTTAATGGGATGCTCAGCTCTGGCAGGGACACCTGGTAGCAGTGTCCCCCGAATTTAGGGCTATGGATCAGCACACTCCCTATGGCTGCTGGTTACACACAGCAAGGCTGGTAGGGTGAAGAGATGCTGCTCCTTGGATCACACTGGCAGCACATCATGCAGTAAGGCAAAGGGCCAGCCTGGAATGGGGGATTGGTGGGCTCAGGATGCTCTTTGCAAGCGGGGGTGGAGCTCTCAGCGAATAAGAGGTGCTGGCTGTGCTGATAATGTCCAGCTAAGGCTTGCCTTGAGCTGATCAGATCCCCATTCCCTCCAGTTGAGAGAAATTCCTGTTGCACCCTTGGAGTATATTCCAGCTATCCCAAGGTTCATTTACAGGCAGGATACCCCAAGGCTTTGTCTGCAGTAACAGAGGTGTGTCCACCTTGCAATCCCAGAGGAAAGGGGATGGAAGTGAGACCATGGGAGTAGTAAGGGATCACAGGAGACAGGCACATGTGAACTCTGAGCACTCTCCCTCCCCCAAAAAAGCACAACTGCAATATAATCCTTCAACACCAGGCTTTAGTGACCCTCCCTGCCAACCTCTCCAGAGCAAAACAGCCTGGAGAAGGGCTCAATATTTTGAAATGTGAATTACATAGAAAGGCCCTGCTTGTGCACGTGTCTTCTCCTTCCAGGCTGTCCTCCACCCGTAGGTCCAGGAAAACATCCCAGCCCCTTTAGTGGGGTTGAAGGGGAGCAAACAGAGCAGGGGTGGCTGCAGCCCCACAGCAGGCCTGGCTCTGAGCTGAGAAAAGGACACATCCCCCAGAAAGTGTTCTCTTAGCCGTGCTGGGACTGACTCACTTACTGCCCGCTCTCTTCTCCTCCTCCTCCTCCTCCCGGCATCCCGAGCTCCGGAGCGGCGCTGCCTCCAGCCCGGCGCTGCCCCGGCACGGACAGCGATAACGAGAGAGATAAGGACGGGGTCCGTCCCGGCAGGGCCGTGCCGAGCCAGGCACACGGAGTTCCTCTTCCTGTGCAGCCCAGCTTCTCTTGCAGCCCAGCTGCACCGCTTCATGAATATATAAGGAGGAGGAGGAGGAGGAGGAGGCGGGCGAGGTTATGGGAGAGCGGGACACGGGCGGCGGCGGGGCTGCCAAAAAAGCGGGGTCACTGCGGGGAATCTCCCCTAAATCTTTAACCCTTCAGTGCCTGGCAGCGAGCGCATCTCTGGGGGTTTGTCTGTGCAGCCGTGCCGCGTTCCCTGGCGCGCACATTCCGCTTTTAAACACCCTGGGAGAAACTCATTCCTGGCGCAGGGAGGCTCCGCACCCCGCTCGCTGTCCCGGGAATACACACGGGCTTGGATATCTAATCCTGATATCTTGGCTATCTAATCCTGATCTGCTGCAGAGCCTTTAATGCCCGCGACGCTGCAAACTCTGCTCGCTAGTGCCTTTACATCTGAGAAAAAAGCAATTTGTACCTCGAAATGGTCGTGCCCGGTCTCTGCCGACTCTGGGAATGGGGCAGGCATCAATCCAGGCGGATTGAGACACACAGGGCCCCCCTCCAGTCAGGTGGAGGGCGGATAGATTTATTTTTAAAAAACCCACAACAAATACAGTAATTTCAGCATTTTATTTCACACACTTCAATGAACTGGAGTTTTAAACTACTTAAACTTAGGAGTTTTAAACCACTTAAAACAGATGTTACCTAAACAGCTTCCAGGGGAGAACAAAGTCCATTTGGTTTAATTTAGTCCAAAAATGGAATCATTTTAAATATTAAAACAAAAAGAAAGGTCTTGTGAGTTAAGGACTATTGAAAACAACCCAGAGCAGCCACAAAGGTTGTTTTTGAGGCAGAGACAGTAGAGTCTGGTCAATAACATGTTAAATTTCATTAGCTGGCACAAGGCACTGAAAGCAGGGTGCTCAGGCTGCCCACCCTCTCCTCCCTGACTGTCCCAACCAGACACCTGATGGGCATTCCTTGAGTCTCCAGGTGATCCTGCTCCCAAAGAGGGAGATCAGGGGAGTGGAAAGATGACCCAAATGTGCTCAGCAGCAGCTCTTGGTTGATGAAAGCAGCTCAAGGGTGGGAGGTGTGAGGAGGGAAGCACACGGATGGTTCAGCAGGGACAGGAGTTCTGCCTCCAAATACCTTCAAGGGAGCAATATCAGGGAAGGAAGGGAAATGCTTTAATTTTCTCGTGGCAGTAAAGCCCAGCATTAGTTCCATAAAACCGAGTTCAGCCCAGGCAGTTGGAAAACTGGCTCTGTGGTGAGCAATTGGGTGCTAGGGACAGGTTCCCACTGTGGAGCACTGAGAGGGGTTAAAATGCTGTGTGAGGAATCTCAAATAGCTTACAGCCAGGCAGGGGTCTTGGCAATGCCTGCCAGAGGGCCTCAGAGATTTGTAGTGGTTCATCCTTTCAAATCACATTTGGAAAACAAAACCGAAGTCCAGTGCTCAAACCCTTCTTTGATGGGGCTTTTCCGCATAAATAATTGCAGAGTTCTGTAGAGATGTTGCAGGGGTTGGACTAGGAAATAAGCAGGTGTTTGAGATGCTTTGCTCTCTATTAAAATGTGGTTCGTGCTCTGAAAATAAAAAATCCTGGTGAAATGGGACCACAGCTGCTTTTAGGTGGGATCTGTCTGGACAGAAAGGTGGAAAGAGGGAGAAGAGGACAACAAGGAGCCCCATCTGGGGGAGGATTGGGTTTGTCTAGTGCTTCCAGGCAGCCAAAACCCTGGCTTCAGGCTTCCCTGGGAACTGAGGTGACTTGGCCTGTCCCAAGGACTAACAGGAATGTTAGAGTTGTCATTTCCACACCAACACATCTCCCAGCTTCTCTGCATTCTTCCTGAGAACCAAGTAGCCTGTTTGGGGGTTTTGCAATAGCTCTGTGTCTGTCCACAGGGGCATGATTGCAGTTCTGTCCAGTCTCCTGTGGCCCCTGGAATATTCTTCAGCTCCCTGGCCCTGGTCCCACGTGCTGTTCAGCCAGGCATCCCTGCTCCTTCACACAGCCCAGCTTTCCTTGGTCTCTGGGCTGGTTCCAGCCCCTGCTGACCCCTCAGCTGCTGCAGCTGTACCAGCAGTGTCCCAAATCCTGGGTGTGTTGTGCAAGCTGCAGTTGTGCCCCTTCTTTTTACCCAGCTGCACCTCAGAGGCATCTGAAGCTTTAAATAGCTGGTGGCCAGCCCTGGGTGCTCACAGCCGGTTCCCCCTGCCTCAGTTTCAGTTCCACGTGTGAAACTGCTTTCCTTCAAACCTTTGGAGCCTCTTCAAGGTGACAGGGACCATTCCCAGAGCGTTTCCCCACCTCTCCCTCCTGCCTGTGCCCTGCTGTGGCCACAGCTCCCACCAGCCTGCTCCTGGCACCGGGAGTGTGGGCAGCTCTGGGCTGCAGGAAGGGGGAAGGACCTCAGAGGCAGCAGCAGCGGGCTTGCAGATGTGTGTTTTCACTTCATCTTTCAGCCCAGGCCCTGCAGAGTCCCTCCTGCTGCTGTGGAGGGTCAGCCTGCAGTGTGCCCCTGCAGCCCCCAGCCCCAGTTCAAGCCTGGCAGTGTGTGGGTGACAGCAGAAGCTGAAAAAGTGCCAAATCCAGCAGAGGCAAGGCCTAGGGGGGATGCAGAGCTTGCTCTGTTTTCTGTGGGGGAAACCCATTTTTGTGTGAGCCAAGTGCAAACCAAGGAGCATTTCTGGGAGCACACAGGGTGGGGCTGCCTTTCGGCTTCCTAGCCTCTCTGAACATGTTGTAATCCAAGCTGCTTTCTGGAAATATCACTGTAAGGCCGGGAAGAGAGGAGTGGAGCTGGGAAATGCGTTCCTAGCTCACCAGTTAGCTATTCTTCCTGTGCCAGCTGCCTCATTTGTGAAATGGAACCAATTCCCTGCCTAGCTGTGAGGGTTATTTGCTGTATTTGCTGGTGCAATAGCCATGGTCCCTGGGCCAGCAGCTGCTGTAAAGCAAATCTGCATAAGAGACATCATCTAGTTTAGAGAGGGAAAGCATGAGGTGGGACAAGGGGCAGGGAAACAGCAGAGCTGGGCAGGTGCACAGCTGAGGGAGGGCAGGATCTGGAGAGTCCTTCCCTCTGCTGGGGCTGGGTGAGACCACAGAGTCTCTGCTTCATGCCTGCAAAATGCTAAGAACATGTAACAGTGCTAAGTGCTATAAATTATTACTAAGAATAGACTGTCCTGGGATGTTTGGGGTCATTAGAACCTCCCCACTGGAGTGCTCCATAACCCCTGCTTTGGTCTGGCTGGGCACAGGTTGGTGTTTTCATTTCTTTCCACCCCACTTTGTGCCCAGCCAGGCAAAACCATGGAGCATTTTCCAGCCCAACAGGGTCAGCAGTGCAGCTCTGTGGCAGGGAGAAAGCTGCTGTGTCCTGGGTCCTGCTGGCAACATTGCTGCCCAGTCTGCAGCTGAGCTCTGCTCACCCCCAAGGTGCCCCATGCCCCTTCAAAAACCCTCCATGTCTCAGTGCATGTGTCCTTCCACTCCTGCTCAGCTACATCCATGACTATCCAATGATTCAAAATGAATAGGACACTTGAGATGCCACAGGAGCAGGAGGTGCTGATGGAGAGAGCCAAGGAAAGGGCTGAATTCCCAGGTTAATGATGAATCACCCTGGGAGTGGAGTCATTGATTTGTAATCATTGCCTGGCTCCCGGATAGAATAGCCATGAATTCCTCTGGCCAGCCACCGAGACAAGGCGCTTTGGGCTATTCCCAGCACACCTGCAAAAGCTCAAATCCTGCTCACAATGGCAGGGGGGTCAGAGCTCCATCAGCATTTGCCCTCTAAGGAGAGGGGCTCAGTACTCAGCACACTGTCACTGCTGCTGCTGGAGCTCAGCATGCAGGTAAATAG